ATTATATTAAGGTTACAAAAAGACCTGATTGTAAAAAACATTAAATCATTTCAAGAGAACTTTCGCTTTCAATCGTAAAAAATTTGTAAACATGATATTTTTTTCTTCTCTCATAAATTTCACTTGATAGCTGTGAAAATTTTTAGGAGAAAAGTGAGAGATAAAACTGATTGTAAATTGCTAGATAATTTCTGAACATTTGTAAGTCATTAAATATTTCAAGCTGAAATTTGTTGTAATATTCAAATGTTTGTGAGAATTTCTTATGCAAGAAAGGATCATTTTCAGAAGGGTAATTTGCAACACCATTCTAAACATTTGTAAGTCATAAAAAATGTTGCAATAGCATTTTTTTTTTCCTAAACATTTTTTAGTCATATAAATATTACATCACCATTTCTTTCTAATCATATTTAAGTCATAAAATATTGCAAGCAGAAAATTGATTTTGTGAGAAAGGGTTGTAATATTCAGAGAGGGTGTGATTTGCAACACCATTCTAAACATTTTTAAGTCATAAAGAATGTTGCGACAGCATTTTTTTTTCCTAAACACATGTATGCAATATAAATATTACGTCACCATTTCTTTCTAAACATATTTAAGTAGCCCGAACAGTTTGTAAGAATGAGAGTTTAAAAAGGATAGCGATAGGGGTTTGTGCATGGATGCAGTTTTTTCTGGTTTGGTGGTTTGTGTGTGTTTTTTTAAAATGTATGACATGCGTTAAGGATATGTTTAATTTCTCGTGAGAGTGAGAGTGATCGTTATAAGAACTTCTCATACTAGAAAGGATTGTTCCCCACGGAAGAAATTTGCATCAGTTTAGTTTTTTGTGTTTACTTCACAAGTTGTTTTCTACTGATAGAAATATTTTTTATCAGTTATATTGAATAAAATATTTAGTTATTCTATGATCAGTTAGACATGAATTGCAAATCATTGTGGGCGATTGAAATGTCAATAAGTTTGTTCATATTTCTAAAACAGATTTAGGTTCCTGAATTATTGCATCTGACACTGGAATGAGACTTAGTTTCTCATCAGATCCATCCAATATTTTTTAAGTCAAATTATTACTTAGACTTTTTTCTAAATTAACAAAGCATTTCGGAATCTCAAGCATGTCGAGATCTTTGTTAAAAAATTCATCCAAATTTAAACTTTCTGCTGAATTTGAATCTTCCTTTGTATCTTCGGCAGAATCTTAAAAACTACAATTCCGACTTTCTGTGAAGTTTGCAATGCACAGCTTCGTAAATTTGCTGTTTTTTTCTTATTATTTCGACTTTTTCTGGCAGTTGGAATCTGATCATTATCAATACACGACGACGAAATGAGGTTATGCAGCGATGCCCATACAAATGTCCATATTGTTGTCAGTGCATAACAAAAGTATAATAAATCTTGAAATTATTTAGAAGATTGATAAAATTGCAATTTTCTTCATCATTTGCATTTTTATAGGTAATGAAAAGAAATAAAGATTTTTATATTTACATTTACAGAAGAAATGAAAAATAAAGATTTCTTATGTAACGGTCGCGGTTCGAAATATGAGCCGGTTATAAGAACCGGATATATATATAAACAGAAGCAGATACTTGAAACACAATTGACGATAGGCAAAAATCGTCCAGTAGATTTCGCAAAACTTTACACAAAACAAGAAGTTGTCTACATCATTAAGTGCCAAGCGGTAGAAGTAAGCATCAGAGAAGAAAAGGAATGCTTTCAAGAACTTCCGGTCACCTACGGTGAAGACAATTACTTTATGTCCCCGCACAACCACATCCTGCTTAAACATGGGTCTCCAATAACATGCAGCAACTTAGTGCCACCAATATTCTTTGTAGCATCTAAATGGTGGGCCATAACACCAGGTAAAGAAAAAAGATAAGTTCGTTACGTCCCGAAATACTTTTCAAGCATAATGACTAATGTACAGGGTTGCGCAACTTTTTTGTCCCCCTTTTTTCCACCCCTTTATCTTGAAAAGTATATGTTGTTTACGCTTGAAATTTCTAGAAAACGTTAGAAAAATAATAAACTACAAAAATACTGAATTTTAATAAATTCGAAAACTCGGGTGGATAATTATATCAAAATGACTGAAAAACGGTCAGAAATTTTACGCCTCCACATCAAGGTTTAAAAAATTGCAAAATTGTCAAGAAACTTTCTCACTTAAATGTAAACCGAAAGTTGGTGTATCGTGTCTTAAAACAGTACCACACTACTGGAGACGTCGAAAAACACCACAAAGTCAAACATAACCGCCCCGTCCGAACACCAGGAATCATTAAAACAGTAAGAGAACGGTTGCGTCGGGAACCCGAGAGATCATCAAAACACATGGCACAGGAACTGAATCTTACACGTCGAACATTAGATCGGATTTTACACGAAGACCTTGGAAGATACCCGTACAGAAAACGTAAAATTCATGGTCTTTCAGCAGCCCAAAAATTGAAGAGATACGAAAGAAGTGGAACGCTGTTGGCTTGGCACGCAGAAGATGAGATAATTTTCTCCGATGAAAAACTATTTTTATTAGACCAGCCACACAACCCACAAAATGATCGTGTGTGGTCAGCTTCCCTTCTGGATGTCCCTGCTTCCAAACTAAGTGTTCAAAGATTCCAAAATGTTAGCTCTGTGATGGTGTGGGGAGCAATTTGTCCAAGAGGCACGTTACCGTTAGTATTTATCGATAAAGGCGTCAAAATTAACCAGAAGTATTATCTCGATGAAGTTTTAAAGAAGCATCTACTCCCTGAAGCCTTGAAGCTCTATGGTGAAGATTATTTTTGTTTCCAGCAAGACGGTGCCCCAGCCCACACAGCAAAAACTGTCCAAGAGTGGTGTGAAGGAAATTTACCTGACTTTATACCTAAAGATGATTGGCCTCCCAGCTCTCCGGATCTCAACCCATTGGATTTCTCAATATGGGGCTACATGCTGGCACAACTGAAGACTGTGAAAATGACATCGATTGAGAAATTTAAAGAACAACTTCAAAAGATATGGGAAGAAATACCAGCCGAGGTCGTGCGTGCCGCTTGCAAAAGTTTCATTCCTCGTTTACGCTCAGTGCGAGCAATGCGAGGAGAAAGATTTGAAAGACTTATGTAAAAATTATTCACTTTATATTAGACTTTTAATTTTTAAAAAAAATAAAAATGCAACATTTAAACTTTTTAAAATAATTAAGTTTTTCAATGGGACAAAAAAGCTGCGCAACCCTGTAAGTTCATTGATTAATTTGCTCANATTTACAGAAGAAATGAAAAATAAAGGTCGCGGTTCGAAATATGAGCCGGTTATAAGAACCGGATATATATATATAAACAGAAGCAGATACTTGAAACACAATTGACGATAGGCAAAAATCGTCCAGTAGATTTCGCAAAACTTTACACAAAACAAGAAGTTGTCTACATCATTAAGTGCCAAGCGGTAGAAGTAAGCATCAGAGAAGAAAAGGAATGCTTTCAAGAACTTCCGGTCACCTACGGTGAAGACAATTACTTTATGTCCCCGCACAACCACATCCTGCTTAAACATGGGTCTCCAATAACATGCAGCAACTTAGTGCCACCAATATTCTTTGTAGCATCTAAATGGTGGGCCATAACACCAGGTAAAGAAAAAAGATAAGTTCGTTACGTCCCGAAATACCTTTCAAGCATAATGACTAATGTATAATATAATTCTTGAAATTATTTAGGACTTTGATAAATTTGTAATTTTCCATCATCATTTATATTCATATAGGTAACGAAAAATAAGATTTTTTTTAACAATTAAATCATTTTTTTTTTCTTAATTTATATGTCCCGATAGAAATGGAATTATTCAATCAACTTATTCCACCTAAAACTGATAGAGATCTTGAAGATGTAGGCTACGATACTGTTGATACAACAACAACAGTCAGTGGAGCTGCCGAGCTTAACAATGATTAAAATTCATTCTTTGTTATCACATCTGGCGAGGAGTTTATTAATAAAACCGTTTAAAAACAAAATCTCTGTTTATTGTCTTAATTATTATGATTTATTTATGACACCCACCATGACACAATTCAACTTAATCAAGTATACTATTAGATATAGTTATTATGATCAAGTGCAAACAGTTTGTGCAATTTGCCTTGCCAGCATTAAATATGGTAATCGTGTAAGAAGACTTCCATGTGAGCACATTTATCACTGTATGTTTGTTCTACGGTCAAAATTCTTCCCACAGATAATCCACTTTCCCTTATTTCCTTTCCGAGTGAATACTTGATTTGGAAAATAAGTACAATTATTTATATCAATAAGCTTTATAACTGATAAAAAATAATTCAATCAGTAAAAAAATAAAAGTATTGACACGTGTTCAGACGGCTAAGTGACGCTAAGTCTATTGTCGTCAATGCATAACTCTCAGGTAAAGATCCCGCTCTCCCAATTCACCTTTTCTAAAAACAACCGCTGATTGGTTACTAGGATAGACTATGTTCAGGTTCGTGAATCACCAACACGGCCTGAACATTGGGTTTTTTGATCATAAACTCGCCTGGGAGTTTATGATCAGAAACTCATTAAAATAGATTTAAGCAATATGCTTTTATGGATTTATTGGGAAAGTTTTATTCCTAAACTCAGACGGGTTTAGGATTATTGTAGATGATTCATCTTAAATGAGTCCTTTTTGCAGATTGCTTGAATCTATTTCGTCCCAAAAATCATAAATTTAGGTGCCTAAATCTTTTCGTCTCCGAAAAGATTAGGCAAAGAATTAGCCAATAAAGGAGAAAGAAGAGTCCCTTACACGTGATGGAAATTCCGTCATGCGTAAGGCGGTACGAAGTTTACCGAAGTTTCTTCTTTTCCCTTATTGGCTAATTAGTAAATAAGCAAAAGAGAATTCTCTCATTAGATGATGTCAGAAAATTTGTGGAAGATCTAAAATCTCAACCAATAATAATAACAACACGGTGAACCAAGAAGATTGGAAAGTTCAAATGGCAAGAGACGACTTTGTCAAATCGAGTGACTTGAGGTATCTTATCGATACCTTAAAGCACAAGTGACAAAGAAATATCTCTCCCTAAGTTGAACCTTCCTAACTTCGATGGGTCGATAAATAATTGGAGGAATTTTCGCGATACAGCCAACATAATGATGGTTAACACAAAAATAAATCCAATAAGAAAACTGCTCGCTCTTAAAGAGAGCTGCAAAGGTGAGGCAAATAATTTGATTAAAAATATCAAATCATTGCCTGGTGGAGAAAAGGAAGCTGATTAAAATCAAGAAGTTTAAATGATGTTCTGTTAACAGGCGACAAACTTCAAACAGATATTCAGAATATTCTGTTAAGATTCTCAAAATTTCAGATCGGTGTTACTACCGACGTAAAGAAAATGTTTCTTCAAGTACTCGTGCATGAAGAAGACCGAAAGTTTCTGCGGTTCATGCATCTATTCCCGGGGAAGAACATAGTACGAATTCAACGTGCTCGTGTTCGGCATCTCTTCCGCGCCGTTTTTAGCGATTAGATCAATGAGAAAGATCGTTGGAAACAACAAAGAAATAAGGATAGATTAATTCATATACATAGCAGACATATCAAAAATGCTCCGACAAATAAACATCAGGCCTGAAGACTCCAACAAATTACGTATAGTTTGGAGGAAAAATAAATCGGACCAACTGGAAGAAATGCGATCAACAGGACTATAGGAACACGATTGCGTAAGCTCACTTCACATATTTTAACTACTCTGCTGGGACACATAATCATCATATGTGTACGTCAATGAATCTATGTTAACTAGAAAAAATAATTCTTAAACATTTTAATTCTTTTTTTAATAAGCATTATAACTGATCAAAATTAATTCAATCAGTATAAAACCAAAGTATTGACACTTGATGATGAAATATTAAACTCCTATAAGTACAACAAAAGTACAGTTTTAATCTTCATTCCTTTAAAATACACATTGGGACCCCAAAAGAATATCACATGATTTATATAGATATCAACACTACATAATTTTTTTTAAATAAATTCCTATTTGGGACTACGACTTTATCTCTCAATTTCTGAGCTGATACTGAGCTGCTAAAAGATTTTTCTGACTCGTTAAATTGTTTTTCACTTCTCTCATAATTCTGGGAATTCCAGCGCCAGATGTTTAAGTAATTAATAATTCTCTCTCTCATAATTGTCTCGTTTATGATAATTAAATGTGTGAGACAAAACATTACCGATCGAAAAGTGGAAGAACGGTCTGTAAAAATTCTCGCCATTTTAACATTAATTTTTTAAATCAAAGCTTTTTATAGTAGATTCGGCTATTTGAGTCATTTTCTCAATAGTAGTTGACAGAGAACCCTTACATGTAAATAATTAGTTTAAACTTTTTCACTCCTTGTAAATACTTAAAAGTACAATTTTAATCTTCATTCCATGATCACAGATAAAATTTAATATGATTCATTTAAAAACACTGTACTCCAACTGCGCTGATTAAGATATTTTAAATGAATTTTTATTGTGCTTTGCGACTGTCATTTTTAATGTCTAAACTGATACTGAACTGTTTAAAAGATTTTTCTGCTATCTTAAATTGTTCTTCACTTCTCACATAATTCTGGGGAATTACCAGGCCAGATGTTTAATTACACTAATTAATAATCCTCTCTCTCATAATTCTCACGTTTATGATCAGTAAATGTGTGAGAGACAAAATATTAGCGATCGAAAAATGAAAGAAAAATTGATAGAAAATCCTTGCTGTTTTAACATTTTTCTTAAATCAAAGTTATTAACGATTGATTCGGCTACTTGAGCCATTTCTCACTAGTATTTAAACGATAGAAAATTTTTAGACATATTTAATTTAAGTCTGTTTTACTCTTTTTAACTACAGTGAATTTTCGTTATAATATAACATACTCTCCTCATAACATTTCTTTCGTTATAACATTCGTTTTGAAAATAATTTCGAAAGAAATCTGATACAAAATTTTCTCCTTACAACATTTTTTTCGTTGTATCATCTTTTTTTCCGGTCCCTTCGAAAAATATTATAACGAAAGTTCACTGTATATAAAAGTACAGTATTAATTTTAATCCTTTAAAATGCAAATTATAATCCCAGAAAGAATTTAATATGATTTAATTAAGAAGACTGTACTGCAACTGCACTTATTAAGATATTTTAAATGAATTTTTATTTCGCACTATGTATGACTTTATATGATGACTCCTACAATGATACTGAACTGCAAAAAGATTTTTGTGCTTTCTTTGATCGTTTTTTATTTCTCACATAATTCTGGGGAATTAACAGGGCCAAATGTTTAAATATACTAATTAATAATCCTCTCTCATAATTCTCTCGTTTATGAACACAGTTTATCCGTAAATGAACGAAAGAGAACTTATGTATTAGCTGGAAAAATGGATGAAAGGTCATCATCAGATCAAGGACAGGCACCTATAGGCCAATCCTGGCCATATAGGAACCACCATCAAATGCCGAAGGCATTTGAGGGCAATGGTCATAAGTGGCACGTGAAAATGACAACATTACTCAATTTCATTATTGAAATTATTTTGTGCTGACTATTCACTACCGACCGTTTTGCATCCACCCAAAGGTTATAGCTAATAAAAATATTTTTGCAAATTACAGGTAATAAAATTGAAATGTTTGGAAATTAACGAATCGCTTCGTCTTATCCACCAGATTCTCATCAAGCTTAAGTGGAAAATTCAGGAATAGAAAACGGAGTTTGTTTTACACGGATTTTTCAATTCAATAGCTTCTTGCCAGCTGTAATACAAATCATATGTAAATATTAAATATGCGACATGTATGCAGGGAAAAGGAAATTTTGTCGTAAATTTTTCAAATCTGTCAAGTTTGATGACGAACAAGAGTTGAAATAAAATAAAATTTCATATTTAGTTGATAGTTTAAAATTTTCCTTGACGCCATAAATAAAGTCAGGTGAAAAGAAAAAGTGATGATGCTTGATACATATTAGAAGATAAGAAAAAGAAGTAATGTCACATGCTTTCATTGATAACTTCTTCATTAAACTTTTATGACTTATATTATGGTTAATTTATAACAGTTTGAAAGAACCAAAGATCATTCATCTCAAAAATCTTTACCAGTTTGTATTCGTACTTTGATAAATGAAGTAGGAAATGATTAAAAAGAATTTCAAGAAATTCAAGTTGATGGAAAGAAAATACGACGAACGCATAGTAATTAACATGGTCAGACTACTTGACTTGATATAAATACATAGGAATAGTGTTACGTAATATCTCGACGATGATGGAATAATTAAATCATGTTGTTGTACATTATGTTTCAGTTTGTTAAACAATTTCTCCGCCATCACAGTAATACATTCATGTCGATGTAAATAAATTTGATATCCCCGCTCGTTAAACACTAACGAGAGAAAAAAAAACGAAAAAGTCATAAATAATCTCACCATAAACAGATTTTATTCTCTTTTTTGATAGAAATAAATTATTTATTACTTTACTTTATAATCATTTATTATTAAAATCAAAACGAAAAAAAATTAATTTAAATTAAATTTATGTTATTTAAAAAAATTCAGCTGGCACACATTTACAAGCAATTTAATGTTGTTTTTTAAAGCTTAAAAGCTAAATTTTTCTTTAATAAAATGGAAGAAAATTTAATTAAATACAAAGGAAAAGAAGATGAGAGTAAAGGAGAGCGCGAGTTACTTAGTTTTGATTGTAACGATAGTAGTAAGGATTGAATGGTCGCTTTGAAAATCTCTCGGGTTGTACATCAGCACGCAAAATCACGACACCTGATGGATTCACTTTGACCTTAATCTTTGTACTTGGTGACAAAATACCATAATCAACATCTTCATACAAATCCTAGAATTATAAATTCAAATAATGAAAAAAAATCTCAAATTAATTTGATTCAATTTAATTTATACTTCAACACGATAACCCGTTGGCGATTGTAATCCCAACTCTCTCAATGTAACAGCAACATCAGAAGGCGTTCCATCTGTTCGACGATTGACGAACGCAACAGCATATGAATAATAAGTCTGATATATTGGTGTAATTGGACGACTCCATATTTCAATTCCTTTGTGCTTATAAATTCTTCTTCCCTGAATGCCTGCGATCGATGAGAATAAAAAAAAAAGAAACCAAACAAAACAAGATTGACTTGAGTGACAAACAAAAACAAGAGAAAAAAATCAAAACACAAAGAACAAAATTATTACCCAACGGATCTTGATCAACTGCAATAATCTTTTTGTTTTGTAAAATTGCTTTGTACTCAGGTCGAATTGAACGTAAGTCGACCGACATCAAAAGCGGTGCAGCTAAAATTGCCCACAACGCCATTTGAGTCTTTGATTGTTCGTAGCTTAAGCCAAAGTTACCGATGATTAACATGTCGGGGTCGTTCCACTAATCATTACAAAATTGAAATTCAAAAATCATCGTGAATTTGAAAATTTAAAGCACTTACGTGACCAGGTCCAGCATTTGGTATGATGTAGTCTTGATTATTTCCATAGTAATCGATTATACTCTCAAGTGACGCCCACGAATCTTGAATATCATCAAAGTTTCGCCACAAGTTGCAATGTTCAATGATTGATGAAAAATTTGGCTAGAAATATTCTTAATAATCGTTTACCAGACAGATTCCTTGCATTAAAACTTACGCTTATACCGGCATAAATTTGATAAACTGGCCAACTACAAGAATAAACCATTGCACGTCCAGTCCCATTCAAATGTCTTCCAAATTCAGGATATCCTGAAATAATGATTAAAATTACTTCATTAACAAATTATACTTAATAATGAAGTTTATGTATTTCTCACCAATATCCATGTCAGTTGGTAATGAATAACAACCGTCCAATTTAACGTAGTCAACATCCCAACTCGCAAATTGCCGAGCGTCTTGCTTTGAATATCCCAAAATGCCCGGATAACCAGCACAAGTGTAATTTCCATAATCTTCATAAATACCAAATTTCAATCCTTTTGCATGTACCTTTAGAAATTAACAAAATTAAAGTTGAAATGATTTAATAATTGGGGAACAACCCGAAGATCATTTATGTAATTACATAGTCAGCTAAAGCACGCATTCCGCTTGGGAAACGTCTTCTATCTGCAACTAACTCATTATTTGGTCCACGGTTTTTTTCCAACCAACAATCATCAACGTTAATGTACTCATATCCAGCAGCTGCGTAACCTTCAGACACCACCAGATCGGTCATTGTACGAAACAAGTTTTCGCTGTAAACAAAAAATTATTCCATTCATTAAACATTTGACTTCTTAGAAAGAAAAACAAAAGTTTCGAAGAACTTTCTTTCTCTTTCGTTTTGGTAGATACTTCAATGAAGTCAAGTTTGTTTGTAAATTCAATCATGCGATGTTCTCGCTTACATAAACATGGAAAGCACGCACAATTTCTCACTTTCTATGATTATTTTTGATATAGAGAAATCGATCAATGAAGTGGATGAATAATTTGAAAGAAATATTTTTGATTTCATCAGATGAATGTTTTACTAGGAAAGAACTTTAATTACATTACATTGAAGCTTGACGAATGCTGTACACAAAGATCTAAACCGTCAAGATTGAACTAAGACATGATAATTCTCTCATTCTCACTGTTTCTTAATCGCTTGTTCATTATGTTTATTGCCGCTGTTGGATACTTTTCGATTCCAATTCGAGGTTTACAATTAAACAATTGAAAATTGAATTCAATGATCAGATATTTTTTTTCCTTTCTCATGTTTTATCGCAATATGTTCTTGATAGGAAAACAAAGCAAAGCATCTTTTTACCCACTAATAAATTAACATAATGTAAACTTTATTGCTTTTAGAAGTTTCCATTATAAATAATTTCAAGATCATTAGTAAGACGACCAACATCATTTATTTTCTTTCAAAATAAATCACCTTGACTGATGACGACCAGTTGAGGCGTTTGCTTTCAAAGGCTTCACTTTTTTTCTGTTCAAGATCATCAAGAGTAAGAGTAATAACAATATTTTATTTTTATTTAGATCTCAAAAGCATGACAACATAATTCATACAACGATGTTTTGACTTTATTATTTTACAATACAATAAGTTACATTCATGTGGGTGATTCATCATTAAAGGTTAATCTTGAATATAGGATGCTGCATGACGAAGAACTTGAACTTTAAACGAAATAAAGAATTGAATAAATTTTGCAGACTGCGGGCGACTACATGCAGAATTCTATTGTGGAATATGGCGAAGCTTCTGTTTATTATTAAAATAAATTCCCGTTCGTTACCAAATAAGATGAAAATCTTTTCTGATCAAATCTGCTTGAAATTTGTTTCAGGTCGATCAATCAATTATTTTATTATTTTTTGTGATAAGTAAAAAGCGTGAGTGGGATTGGTTCAAAATTACATTAAACTGAAAACATCAAACATAAATTTATTGCCTTGTTAATGTTGAGACATTGTTTATGAACATCTTGTGCTTCCTTGATATTCACATGCAAGACTCATAAATTTATTTCTTTATTCATTGATTTATATGTCGCATAAAAATTCTTTGCAAACATCAAATAAATTCAAATGATGATCGTTAATCTTTATATCATATAAATAACTTACCTTATACAATTGTCGGGATCATTTTCGCAGTCTGTATTGCATCGAAATCTTTCCCACGATAACCAACCCATTGGTGGAGTTCTCGCAAGACCATTTTCTAAGGCGTTAACTAAATTAACTGCTAAGATCAAAATTACGACCACAGATACACTGTGCAACTTCATAATCTGAAAAAAATGAAATAAAATTGTAAAAAATTGATTAGTTTTGCATTCGATATTAAAAGTTTTTCAACCTTGATTTTGAATCGCAGAAAAAATTTCTTCGTTTTTATGTTTGTTTATCTACTTGTTTAAAAAGTTCAGATATCCGTTTCTCAACTTTTCTTTTAAAAACCATTAGGCTAAAAAAATAAGCTGAATTAATAAGTTCCGATGCATTTGCTGATTCGTGGCGAACCCACTGTTCTTGTTAAACTCGATCTCACGCAAAAACTTGCTTTTTATGTATGAGCAAAAAGCTTAAGTCGTTTTATCAGTAAAACTTTCTCCCACAGTCTGCTGTTGGTTTTGAACGCGCTTTAATTCCATCGAACAACAGACTATCATGCTTTTGGAGCAAGTTGCCGTAAACGATCATTTATGAATATAAAATATATTTACATTCTTGTAATTCGTCGCAACGCAAAGTCACAACACATAACTAGATATCATGAAAGGAAATTACGCAACCAATAACGTATCATTTGGCTCTCAACTCTCTGATTTTTGTTATTATTCAATTATTAACACGTCCATTTGGGAGCGACGAAATTGAAAAAAAGAAACAATAAATATGAAGTGCGATAATTGAATATCTAAAGAGTTTTATTATCTCAGCCTTGACACATTACTTACACGTAATTTTTCTTCCGAACGCACAAATATTGTCAAAACATTAATATTAAAGTAAATAATTATTAATGATGCTTTATTATATAGAATAATTATTAAGCATTCATAAATTTTCAGGGCATGAAAGATTGATTGATTATAGTTTTTTAATTCATTGTTTAAATTTGATATTCGACGATCGAGAGCGAAAATATTATTTTTCGAGTTTCCTTTTTCATGCCCTGACTAGATATTTTCATTTGTAGATACCTACCGAAAAGTAATCTTCTCTTGATAATGAAGTTAAATCGACGCTTGATGCCAATTGCTTTGACACAGGAAATATATTTTGTGGCAGTTAAGCGGTTGAAGAAAATGAAAGTTGAGTGGAAAACTTTTTAAAATAACATGAAATGATCGCATCTGTTTTTATTGTTTTTTATTGTATTTTTGCTTTTTTTAAAGGGGAGTAATTGTTATTAACAACTTGATAAATCTTTTTTTAATGTAGATAAAAATTTAAACCGACTTCAATTAAAATTAAGTGAAATAAAGCTCAAAGATTTGTAATCAGATACAAATGTGCATTTTCAAGGGAGTCACCCAATGTTGCGCTTAAAGAGATGGAAAAATATTAAATTGCATCATTCTCACGTTAATTAATTAATGTTTTGATTGCAGATTGTCTTCAAGTATGAAGTTTTAAGATTAACTTGAGATAGCGACCTTGAAAGTGAACAATGAACGAATTTGCCAGTTGGGAAAATCAGAATCACAACATTTAAATTTGTGTTTTGTTATTTATGGAAGTTCATCCTTGCTATGAACATGACTGACATCTGTACCAAAATAAATAGCTAAAGTTTGATATTTAATCAAAACATCAGAGCACAACACTTTAAAGTGATTTTAAATTAGTAGGCGTCATGTCAACTCAGAAACGTGTGATATTAATTTGTAGGCTTGCCTCGCTTCTAGACGTAAAAATTATTAAGTTAAAAATTGTAGAAAAATATTGTCTTAGTTAAAAGCTTCCGTACTTTATTTAACCATGAGATTTGATAGTTCTTAAGGATTTCAATTTTGAGTTTTTCCCACCACTCTTAGATTTCATTTTAAATCCATCATAAACGGTAAGTATAGACAAAAGGAGAGTCATTGTTGTTACGCGTTTCGAAGCAATTTAATTCTTTTTTTTTTCATTAAACGCTTCTAATAGTAAAGTCATGTTAAATAAACTCATCACGGTACGTTTTCTGACCTTATTCCGACTTTTGCGATCAAAAGTAATATTTGGAGCATTTTGTATTTAGTCAATATAGATTTCTACTCGTTTATATGTATCTTTGTTTTTAAAACGATCTTTTCATCTCACGCTTATTTTAAAAGCGTTTTCGCTCTTGTATGATTATTAAAACTTTTAATCTCAACTCTACATGCAATGTTTTATATTTACTTGAAACTGACATAAAAATGATGTATTTTTATTACAAAATAGTTTTTTCACAATGGTGACTGTTGAAATTCTTAAAAATGTTTCGCGATTTTATTTCCATCGTCAGCTATGTCATTCATATCATCTCGGGAGACTTTTTTCTGATGATCTTGTGTTAAGTAAGTGACATGGACAAAAAGCGTATAAACGACTTGTGAAATTTTGAGTACTAATTAGCTTGAAACTGATCTCAATAGTTGTTGTGTCAATCCAAATCCATCAACTAACAAATCAAATTAATTGAGTCGATGAAAAGAGCTCAATAAAATTATTTAATTATATTTTTCAACCGGAAACTCTAATTCTTTCTTCGACTTGAAAAGTTTCTTTTGTTGTAGTCATAATTAAATGCTTACTGATCAAATAAACCAGCAATAAAACGACATCAAAACTTTTATAATCAAATAAAGCTTGCAGATTATTAGTTTAAATCATTGCATAATTAATAAGCGTTTATTCACAGAAGCAAAGATCATGAAGTGATGGCCTAGTTTCTGTCGACTGTCTCGTAACATTAGCTGTCTTTAAGCTTTATTATTGAAAGTCTTTGATTTCACTGATTGACAATTTTATATTCTAAATTAAAACTTATTGAGTGAGAAAGAAGATCAACGGGTTTCTTTTGAAATTGAATTCAGAAGCAATTAATAATATTAATCACTTTTTCGGTCGGTATATTCACCTTAAATAAATTAAGTGATTAAAGATACTTAACGGTTTCCGTCTGCGAAATCTTTACTTAAAAGAATATAAATGAGAAATTGACGGAAATCCTTTCGAAAAGAAACATTACAAGAAATGAATGAATGACAAACGTTTCATAAACGACGAAATGTTTGCAATTTTAATAACTCGTTACAAATGTTATCATAGATATCTTTCAACAGCTCACTATTTAGCAATGTATGCATAAAAGACATAAAGTAAATGTTAAATAATGACTTTTGAATATTTCAAATATTTCTCCGACATACTTAAGATTGATTTCTTTTAAATCACATATAAAGCCGAGCAATTTCATTCTCACTTTCAGTTCAATTGGCGAAAATTCTATTGAAGTCGCGCCTTTTTTATTTATTTCCACAAAAGCAAAGATAAAGACAAATTAGAGTTTAAATATTAGCGACAATGAATATTTTTGACTTTCTTCCATTGTGCTTAAATTTCTGAGAAATCCAAACAATGACGCAGTGATTCATGAGTTTTGCATATTTATTATAGTTTATTTAAGTTATAAAAAAGTAATTTTATAATTTTCTCAAGTTTACAGACTGAAAATTATTTTCTGACTCTTCATGTTTATTGTTGATTCATTCAAAATAAGGTTTTAACTTAAAAACTCATCAGAAAAATGCGAATAAAGCTGCGAATTGTTCTAAAGATCAGAAATTTTCTCACACATTGCTCATAAAAACAACAAACAAAACTTTATGGACGTCGTCAATGATCCATTGCGAATTTAAAACAGTTGAGTCGGTTAGATCGTTTTCGTTATGAGTCATTGTGGAGTGTGCTTTGGATTCATTACACTCTGCTTTGCATAATAATTATAGAAATTAAAACATGAACAGAATAGTTAAAATTAGAAGAAAAGATCTTCGTCTTTGATGTCGTTTTTCTCACGTCGATGCTTTAATGTTTAGGTTAAAACTTTCATGGGCTTTTTATTGCATAAATTTATAAAATCATGAATATTACCTCTTATGCAACGATCATTTCAAAGCTATTATAATTTAAATTTTATAGAAATGTTAGGGAATGACAGATTTGAGAAAGAAAAAAGAAGTAATATATTTCTTTTATTTTAAATGTCGCATTTGCCCTGCAAACCATTTGTAAGTCGATATTATTTAAGTTGAAAGAAGAGAAAACCTACACAGAGTGTAAGATGAATGTTGCTGCTTATATTTATGCTTTATTAGACGACCAATTACTAAAATACTTTATGCGCTGATCAAATAGAAGGTCAGAAGCTGTAATTTTGGATCAAATGCGAAATAATATAAAAGCACGAGTTGGATGAATTGATGGTCTGCATAATTGCCAATCGTTGGTTTCGAGTCATATTAAAGGTCATTTCTAAACAGAGGTTCACGATTATTAATGACATGAGCAGGAAACAAGCGCAATTGCGGTCTACATTTTATACTTCTTGAAATTTTTGATCCAAATTTATGAACGAAGAATTGTTTCAACAATTTAATGACAGCCTGGAGAAAAAAATAACAAACTTTATGCCTTGAATTAAGTGCTTGGAAAAAAAGAGTGGCAATGGAAATTAAATAGAATAGAATACTTAATGGCTTTTTACTGAATGTGCTTTCCAATGTCTCGTTTTTCTACTAAATTTTTATAAGCCTTAATAACAATGTTAAATATATAAGTAATAAAAATTGACACACGTGAAAACCCTAATCTACTTTAATAATCGACATTGAGAGATGCGAATCGTAAGCGCACTTTTGTTCATTCCGTTTCGGAAGAGTTGGCGCTTTTCTACCAACATAAAAATTAGATTACAACAACTTTTGTTTGTCTCCGATTCTTTGTTACGTCCACTCATTCATAAAGTTTCATGTCTCATATATTTTTATTTCATTCGCTTTCTTTGAATGCAATGTCGTCGCAAGACTGCAATTTAATTTAATATCTAGGAAATAAAATTACAAAATTGAGGAAAAACTCATTCATGAGCTGGTAACGCACGACAAATCAGCTGAGTTCGAAGTGAGTTTAATTTAGTGTCAAGACTCTTGATCTAAATTCAATATTTAGTAAAGAAAAAAAAGAAGTTTCTCTCCGAAATAAAACAAAAACAATAAAAGAAGTTGAAAACGTCAGAAGGAAAAAATTAAAATAAAAAACTTCTCAACCTCACGATTTCACCCGACAGACTTTAGATAGATTATTAAAGATCAACTGTTATTATTAATAAATAACGAAAAGGAAATTCTCATTGGTATTTCATGATCCTATGTTATGCAACAAGAACACAAAAGAAAACTCCATTACATAAAGCTACCTATTAGTTTTTGTCGTGTCTTGAGAAAGAAAGACGTAAAGACGCTTGATATTGTGCAATTTTGCTATTAAATTGTTGTTATAGAAAATGTTGTTTATATGTTGCAGAAATTATGTTCGATCTTACACATAATTATTATAAGCCTACCTAGATTTCAATTTATTATATATTAAGCCTTGATTAAAGTATCTACACAGAAGCATTAAAGCTTGCAATGTCTGCAATGAAACTGCACACAACAAGAACAAGGCAGGTCAACTAATTAATTTATTAAAGTTCACTAACAAAATAAGTTTTTGACTTCAATATTCAATCACAACCAAACAAATGTTTTATCGATCTCAAGCAATTTCACAATAATTTAATGAAGATGTGAACAAAGCACTTTTTCTTTACATTTAATTGATAACAAAGAACAATAAAGTCTTTGTGAATGTGATGAGCAATCCAATTGATTAACAAACAGATATGTTTGATGAGACATTTCAAAAAACCTTTTAAACGTTTTCTTCTTTTTCTATACAATACGAATTGATCGAGAAATGTCTGAGAATAAGCAAAAATTTATTATTTAAGACAGCCCGCTGATCATATGAAATACGTAATCACATTTGGGGAAAGTGAAAAGCTGTGAAAATAAAAAGAAATGATGATTTGTAATTCATACGATGTACTGCCGAAATGAATATCAAGCGAGCTTCAATCTCGAATCAAATTTACAATACTTAAGTAGATATGTGGTCAGAAAAAAGTGAAACAATTGTAAGTTTGTCAGTTTTACTAGCTTCTTAAAGAAACGTTTTTGCCACGGAAAGCAACGATTGCTGTTTAAATCGTGATCTAAGGAAACATAAAGCACACGGAGAAAAAGTTTAGTTAAATCCATTCAAACATTATCGTTGGGTTAGATGTTTGAACAGCTTGAAAATAATAAGAAGAGGAAACGATTGAGTTTGCCTTAAGAAACCCAATTTCTTTCATTCACTTTCAACAACTGTCATAGTAAAGAAACCTTAACACTTTGAAAGACTCAGCGGTTAACATTTAACTTGTTTCTGCAAACTTTTTTCCTATGTATAGCAAAAGCGAACTTTTTAGCGTAAAAATTAATGCAACGATCACTTCAAGATGCACATTTATGTACATACAAAATAACGGTTTATTTATTATTATTAAACTTGTTTAATTAACATCATCGCTTACCATTTTTTTCTGCTGAACTTACATAAAGTTGATTTGAAAATTTTACAAAGAAGAAATATTTAAGTATATGAATCTTTTAATCGATACAATTTTTTGTTTTCGTGTTATAACTTTTACAAAAACGTTTCAATTTTTCGTTGCTCGTAGCAGAAGTAATGACTTTCTTTTTTTAATTTCCTGCTCTTATATTTTATTATCATTTATATGTTGGTTTAAAGCACAGCCAAAACTATTTTTTTTATTTTGATGAGATGAAATGTTTTTCAATAAAGCACACTTGAACATCTGAGTCTGAATAACTTTTCAATTTTATTTATTCCTTCACACTTCTGTTATCGTTCAAAGATGACAAATATATAAACACGAATCCAAACAAAGAACTTCTTATCAGAACTTTTCTTCTTATTAATTTAATATGATATGTTTTGTATAGAAATATTGAATATAAATTGGTTCGAAAAGGTTTGTCTTTTCTTCACTTAATATAAAAACATTAATTTACTTTAAACTAGGTATTAATATTCTTCAGTGGATTCGCATTACACGTTTGGATCTGACGAAGTCAACCAACTTTGTGAAGAAAAAAATCAAAACAGTTTAAAAACTTAGTTCGAGTCGATTATTGTTTAGGCTTTTTTTCTCTTTTTCTCTCTCTTAAGGATTACGCTGATTCCTCTCTCGGATTTTAGTGGATTTTAGTTTACGTTGATATATAGCTGGGTTATACTGGATATATTATCTTTATTAGTGTGAGTCGACTTGGGCGCTTATAAATTAATTTAACAAAAAAAAATTGTATTGTTTATACTAAAAACAATAACATCCGAATAATATTGATAATTCTTGAAAACAGTTTTAATACATTTGTATAGATAACTATTGAATATTATAGTTAAATGCTTACTGATATGGAACTTATAAAAAACTATTAAAACCCTTTTAATTTTAATATAATCTGCTTTCTAATATAATTCGAAGTCAGCTGAATATTCGCATATTAATTTTTAATTATTTTAATTTTCCTGAGATATCAACCATAATCGGTAACATTATTACGTCAGTAGTTTTAATACGATTGGTTCGAAGATACCTATTTATGTGTGGCTAATCATACTAACAAACGTTTCGTTGAGTTCTGCTAAATTTCAATGCCATTGCGTTAAGTTATACTCTACAATCACACTTGCTTATTTAATATTTGTGTGCCGGTAATTATAAATACACGAGAGACTAACTTGTAAACACGAAAGAAAAAATGTTGAGAATATCGAAATTAGTAGAAGTCGATCATTGAAGGTGAAAACTTGTCAAAAATTTGTTCAGATAATTTCATGATAAAATAAATTTTTCCATATTTGGCGATTTCCAAAAATAAAATTGATAAGCATCTAAAGAAATTCTTGTAATCTGTTGAATCATTGAAGATGTTTTTAACAAAGTTTAATGTCAACTTAGTGACGAAGAGTAGTAAAGGGTTAAACACAATTGTTAGACTCTCTTCAACATCAGCTGTTAATGACTCTGAGTGGAAGAATGCGAAACCGTACAGTCAAATTCCAGGATTAACAAAGTTTGGTCTCGTTAGAGCTGTTTCTCCAGGCGGTAACATATTTGCAATATCATTTAAACTTGTTCTATCTTTGAAAACCTGTTGCGTTATAATTTATCAGGTAAATACAACAATCTCAATATTATTGAGATGTCGCTGAAGATGCAGGAAGAATATGGAAATTTCGTAAAATTTCCCGGACTTTTTGGACAACGTGATTTAATTTTCACTCTTGATCCAAATGATATCGAGACAATATTTCGTCATGAAGGAAAATTTCCAATAAGACGTGGCCTTGACACTTTAGAATATTATAGAGAAGTTTATAGACGTGAATGGTTTGGTAAAGGAAACACTGGATTAGTGCCATCGTAAGAACTTTTTAATAAATTTCAATTGAATATAATTAATTTTTTTTTCTCATAAACATAGACAAGGTGACGACTGGTATCAATTTAGAACAAGAGGTACGTGACAAAATAATAAAAAAATGTATTATTACATCAAAATTATTTCAAAATATTTTTAAGTTAATCAAACAATGATGCAACCAAAGACGTCAAAGCTTTATATTCCTAAAATCGATGAAGTCGCTATTGAGTTTGTAGACAGGTATTTTATAACAACAAAAAATAAATGAAAGTATAATCTAATTTTTGAAATATTTTAAGAATTAAAGAAAATCGTGATGCTAATGGTGAAACCCCTAATGATTTTCTGGAATACATCAATCAATGGGCATTAGAAAGCATTGCATTAATAACATTAGATACTCGTCTAATGGTTCACGAAAATCCCAGATCAGCAGAGATCAACAGATTAATGAAGGAAGTTTTTAGACTTTCTTATGAGTATGATGTCATGCCGAGTTTATGGCGAACAGTTAAAACTCCTGGTTTCATGCATGTTATGAAGACCTATGATCGTTTAACAGGGATTATGAGAGAATATGCTAATGAAGCGATGAAGAAGTTGGAAGCTTCAACGCCTTCTGATGATCATGAACCTGGGATTTTAGAAAAGTTAATGAAAATTGATAAGAATGTTGCTTTCGTTATGGTGTTAGATTCATTGTTGGCAGGCGTCGACACAACATCAACAGGAATTGTGTCTACTTTATATTGTCTAGCAAGCAACCCAGATAAACAAGAAATATTACGAAAAGAAGTTCTTAAAATTCTTCCTGAAAAAAAATCAAAACTTACAACACAATCATTGTCATCAATTCCGTATTTACGTGCAGTGATTAAAGAAGCAATTCGACTTCATCCGCCATTTAATGGAAACTTGCGAGAAACTGTACAAGACATGGTCATTCAAGGATACCAAATTCCTAAGGGTGTAAGAGAACCAAAAACTATTTTATGCAAATACATTTTTATTCAATTCCAATACTTTTGACAGACAAATTTGGTGTTGGGAACACATATTTTGCCAATACAAGACGAACATTTTGAAAGAAGCAACGAGTTTATTCCCGAGCGTTGGATCAAAGACAACACAGACACAAAATGCCCACATGCAAAAGATTCACATCCTTTTGCCTATCTTCCTTTCGGATTTGGAAGCCGCATGTGCGTTGGGAGACGTTTTGCTGAACTTGAGATTGAAGTGTTAACAATGAGAATTATTCGAGAGTTTAAACTTGAATGGAATAATCCTCCACTTAAGTTTAAATCGTTTACTTTAAACATTGCAGCTGATCCATTGAAATTCAAAACGATTGATTTGTAATTATATTAGAATGTGATTATGTTTGATATTATCAGAAATAATTAAAAAATATTTATAGAAATTTTACACATTTTTCAATAATCTTGATCAAAATATGATTAAAAAATACGTTGTTTACGCAATAAATTGTTCTTGAGAATGAATCCAAAAAATTTTCATTCGGTGTTGTAGACATAAAGTTTATGCTTTGACCGCTAGGTAGTAAATAGTAGAAGATCGAACTGTTTATATTTTCGATATCTTGTTGTCATCAATCATTTTTAAGAAGTTGTTAAGAGTGAAATCAATTCTTATATGCTATGAAGTTAAAATATAGGCTGTGAATATTGAAAATATTTTTTCTTTTGAGTATTGTGAAAATATTGAGTTCAACGACATTTTTATAAAATGATCTTAAATTAGGTAAATTTGATTTGATAATAATATTAAACCATTTTATAAAATAAAAAAAAATACAATTTATTCCACATATTATCAATTGTAGTTATTATGTTTAACGTTTTTTTTTACATTATTTTAAAACAGGGAGAGAAGAATTCTTTTGCTTCTTTTCAAGCTTCTTTTGAAAAATGAGAGAGAATAGAGAGCAATTTAACTTTTTGCTTCCCTTGCCTAAACTCTTTCTTTTTCGCATCAATCATGCCTTCGAAAAAAAGTACGATTTAGTTTTTCAATAAAATAAATTGTTTAATTCACTTAAAATCTAATCCAATCATACTTTATAAACAGTTTGTTTATTTCTTCACTCATATAAATCAAAATTATGCTATGAAAATATGATAAAGTAACGAAATCTTTCTAATATTATATTTTGGTTACACGCGGAAGAATATGCAAACAAAAATAAAGGAAATATTTGAGTGATGGAGTGATTTGTAAATTTTGTTAAACATTCTGCCACTGATGTTATGCAGTGGTTATCAAAATGTTTTGGAGTTGATTTTCTAGTGAATTAAATAATTTTAACTTAAAAAATAATACATAAACATAACCTCATTCAAAGATGTTCAATTTTTTAATTAAACATATTGTTTTTAGCGGGAGAACCGTCCGATAAAAAGGACAAAAAACCAGCTGCTTCATCTTCAACAGGAGCAAAGAAAGAAACTGCTGCTAAACCAGCAGCAGAAAAGAAACCAGCTGAGAAAAAACCAGCTGCTGCCGCCCCCAAGAAGCCTGCTGCTGAACTTGCTGCAAAGAAAGCAGAGAAACGTCCAGCAACTGAGAGCAAACCTTCTGTTGCTGAAAAGAAAACAGCTGCTGCAAAACCTGCTGATAAGAAGGCAGCACCTAAAGGAGCTGCAAAACCAGCAGAAAAGAAAGCAGGAGATAAAAAGGCTGCCCCAGCAAAGAAAGCAGCTGAAAAGAAACCAGCAGAAAAGAAAGCCGCAGGAGATAAGAAACCAGCAGCAAAGAAAGTTGGTGAAAAGAAGGCTGTCACTACAAAGAAAGCCGGTGATAAGAAGCCAGCAGCAAAAGGTAAAGATGGGAAGCCAATCAAGAAGGCACCAGCTAAGAAGCCTGGCATGAAGCCAGCTGCTGGAGCTAAGAAACCAGTTGCAAAGAAACCAACCTTAGCATCTGCTAAATTGCAAAAAGGAACAGCTCGCGCAAAGGCTGCCGCTATTTTAAAAGCTAAAAGAGCTCGCTTGAAGGTAAACATAATTTTTTTTTTATTTATTTTAGTATTTCTTTAATGATGAGATATTTAGTTGGGAATCTCTTTGAAAAAAAAACATGAAAAGAAAACCTAATCACTTTCGTTAATCAATTGACTGAATTATTTTTGTTCAAATATTTATGCCTATTGAAATATTATTCTGTTACTGATTGCAATTCTTTTCTTTTAAGGCTGTCAAAGGACCATTTGGAACTCGTCTCCGAAAGGTCCGCACAACAGTTCGCTTCCGTCGTCCAAGAACATTGAGATTGCCGCGCAATCCTAAATACCCACGTAAGGCAGTCCCAACTAGAAACCGCATGGATGCATTCAACATCATTAAATATCCATTGACAACTGAAGCTGCAATGAAGAAGATCGAAGACAACAATACTTTAGTATTCCAAGTTCATCTTCGCGCAAACAAAAATCACGTTCGCGCTGCTGTTCGCAAACTTTACGATATCAAAGTTGCAAAAGTGAATTGTCTTATTCGACCAGACGGAAAGAAGAAGGCCTATGTGCGTTTGGCTCGCGATTATGATGCTCTTGACATCGCCAACAAGATAGGAATCATATAAACATTCGGTGAAAGCAAACAAGATTCTCTCGTCTTGGTTGACATTTTTTATTTGTATCTGTAATAAAAATAACAGCAGAGAAATTGAGAAAAAATAAAACCAATTTTGGGAAAAAATGATTAAATTGATGATTTTTATTTTTTTAATTTGAATTTTTTTATCAAGGAAATTTATTCAGAAGACGGAGTAAAATAATTTAACGGATAAACATTTGAATTTAACATCAACGCGTAGTTTTCTATCCCTGATATTATCCTCCTGTGGCCCTCGATTTGTAAGAAAATTATTTAAAAGCTGAAAATAGACACATTCAGAGATTAAGAACGCATTGAAACGGTGCATTATTGCAAAGTTCAAACTTTAATATTCAATTTTAAATTCGTTTTACTCTTGGCAGCATAAAATTACATCAAAAAATTTATTGATTTTTTGTGAACTAAAAAAATCATTTCTGGGTCTTGCGATCCCGCAAAACGCCGATAATCGTTTTGCTAAGTATCAATTAAGTAAAAAACCAACTTCAAAATGTATAATGGAATCGGATTACAAACACCAAGAGGATCCGGCACAAATGGACACGTTCAGAGAAACTTTGCTTTTGTGAGGCCCTCGAAGAAGGACAATATTAACTACAGAACGGAGGAAGACATTGCTAAATTAGAAGCATCAACAAATCGTCAGCCCAACCTTGAAATCTTGGATCATGAGCGCAAGCGAAAGATTGAAGTTAAATGTGCTGAACTGGAGGAAGTCCTTGAATCTCAAGGGTAAGTTGAAAAAACAATATTAAATAAATTAAATTGACGACAGAAGTAATAATTCATTGGACATATGAAACTCGTAATATCTCTTTGATTGTCTAATAATTTTTTGTTATGAAGCTGTTGGATTTCCTCCAATTTTATCGGCGTCTGATTTTCATACTTAATTTTTCAACATAAAAATCTTTCATGTGTCAAGTTTACAATGCGAGGCTTAAGTAAAGAGAGCATTTGGGGTATTTTATCATTGATTTTTTCTTATATTTATAGGCAGGGATATAGAATAAATATTTTTAAAGCCTCATTTCTATGATTCATTGAATCGCTCAAATATCCTTCAATGTTTAATGATATTTAAGTTAACACACCCACCTGCTTTCAATCGCACCCCTTTTCATATTCACTGGCGCATAATAAACACGAAAGTGCTTCTATTGTATTTCATTTTTGACGAAAGCCTAGAATTTAGCAATAATGTAAGTTAAGCTCATAAAAAGGATGTATTCATGATTCATAAGCAAACTTCACATAATTCATGAATTCTTTGTAATAAAACTGCATGACAAATATGGCAAACAGAAAAGTTTTAGGAAATTAATTGGCGAGAATATATTTTAATTGCAACAACGCAGATTTAGTAAAAGAAAAATCAAATATCGTAAAAAGTTTTTTGATAGTCTCACTAGAAGAATGTTACCAATAATTTATTGCTCGTCTTTAATCCCGCGGGTGATAAACTGAATTTATTTTTCCCCTTTTCTCCATAATTTATTTCCAACCTTTTCTTCTCATCTTATAGATTCACGGAAGAAGAAATTCAAGGTAAAGTCGATGCTTATCGTAACAAATTGATGGGCACGAATCAAAATGGAAACGAAACGACTGCTAAAGATGAACATGGTAGACCAATGTGAGTAGATGTTTAAAATAATTGTGAATGATTGAATGAATGAAAATGTTGCTTTGAAAATCGTTTAGACCTTGAAAAGAAACCGCAAATATTTCTAACTCTTCAATGTGCACAAAATTTTTGTTTTCCTATTATCATTTCCTTCCCTCTCTGTTGTCGGCATCGAGAAAGAGAAAACGCTTGAGATGAAAAACTAGAAAACATGCTTTAAGTTGTTTTATCTACATGCAGAGATTTTTCGAATGTTTAAAGATTGCGGAGAAAATATTGCACTAACACTACTTCAACTTTTGTCAGTGTTTGTAAAAGGATTTTCTCTTCCTAATGTTTAGTCGGAAAATGTGATGCTTGCATCAGGATCGTGTCTTGATTATTTTTAAGTTCATTTAAGTTTTCCTTTTAAAATGTAAAAATATTTTAAGGAAACTTTAAAGATTTCTTTGCCATCTCCATGACTGTTTTAAAATAAACTTCAAAAGCAAAGCAATGTGACAGTAAAAATGTGAAATGAAAATTAAAGAAATCAATAAAAATCCAAAATGGATGCTGAAAGAAAAATTGCGATGTGAAACATTCTAAACTTTAAATAACTTAAAATCACTTTGTCTTCCATTATAAAACTTAGTGAAAATATTTATATTAATCGTCATAAGAATCAAATTGTCTTCCATTAAAATAAAAAAATAAAAAAATTAAATGAAAAACATAAAGAAAAATAATTCTGAAATTGTCAATCCAACTTCAAAGAAATCGAAAAGCAAAAATCTTTCACCTGCTAAGAAATTTCGATTACGACTTCGATTTGCGAGGTTTCATAAACAGCAACAAGCAAAAGACGATTATTTCGAACATGATAATCGTGATGCAACGAAAACAAATGAAAATGATAAGAAAAAAGCTGCTCGACTGAATAGAAAACATCGTCGGGCACAAATGTATATTGACGCTTATTTGAAGTCAAATTATGAGATTATAAATCAGAATGGCGTTGCTGCATTGCATGATGGGACACAGGAAAGCAGCAACAGTAATGACGTAGTCTCTATAAAATCAACTGTGCATAAAACAAGTCTTGGATTTCCTCCGATGACATCACATTTGAGTCAGGCTCTTGTGGGGAAAGAACAGGCGTTACTCAATAGTAAATTATTTCCCACCACTTCTAATAAAGCCGGTGTAATCTCCACTAGTAAATGTTGTTGTCATTGCGCATGTTCAAGTGTAAAGCGAAAGCCTCGAAGGAAATTGTCTTCGCCTTATTTTGGTGATTTCAATCAGTCGATGAGCTTACCAAACCTGAGTCGTACTCATAGAGAAGAAACTGCTATTCTTAATAAGACTACAACAACCACACATCAAGAAACGCATTTGATGAAAGCTTCAAAAAGTGGAAACTTTGTGAATTCAATAAATTCGTCTAATCGCACAAAAATGTTGCCGATCCTTCATAAGGATCACGACAACTTTAAAAGTCGTAACGGCATCAATTGCGATATAAAAGAAGTGCGTAGTGTTCTCAGGTTCGTGATTTTCTCGTCTTTTTCCTTTCATTTTTCTTATATTTAAATTTTCGTTTTCCCTCATGAGTTAAAACAGCGATGAAACATAAATAATTTTTGATTTTCTTTTTATAAACGTCCGCGTGTGTAAAAGCTTTGCGTGTTGTCAAATGTTCTCAAATATTTGTTAGCTTGTAATTTATGAACATGTCAGGGAGATTGATAGAAGTTGCTTCTTCTTTTGACATGAATATGCAATTGAATGAGTGAATTAAAAAAATGTTCTTCAATTTTTTTTACAGTTTAAGAGAAACTCATGAGATTGCTCAAGCTCAACAGGAAAAGAATGCAAAATTGCGTGAAGCTTTTGGCATTTCTAATTACTTTGTGGAAGGAACAAGTTTCGATCCAGAACGAAAAGCACGCGAAGAATTAGCGAAAAGTGAAGCAATTCAAAAGGAACTTCAAGCTGAAAAAGATGCTGATAAGATTAATCGAAAGAAATATGCTTTGGTAAGAACACCATCACCGGATAAATCTGAGGATTCAGTGGCTGGAAACAATGACAACAATGATGATGATGATGATGACGACGGTGGAAAAGGAAAAGTTGAAAAGAAGAAGAAAAAGAAACGAAATCGCGATGCGTAAGTTTGAAAATTCTTTTTCACCCGTTTAATTATGTTAACAAAATGAATTTGTTCAGATCTTCAAGTCCGGAACGGAAGAAAGACAAAAAAAAGAAATCAAAGAAGCATAAGAAGGACAGGTAAGAGTCTTAAACCCTTGAAGAACTTTTATAACTTCCCATGTTTTAGTTTCTTCTTTTCTACCTTTTTTCTCTTACTTTTAAATGAAAATCGATGATGACAAACAAGATTTTTTTCTCACTATATTTAAACATTTTCCTATTCATTAAAATTTTTTTACTCGAAAAATTATAAAAGATGAAATGATGTGGTGGAAGGTGAGTGGAGAATATTCTGAATGAATTAGTTTTTCGTTGATTCTTCAGACCTCACACGAAAGTTTGCTTGTTTCTTGATTTCCTCCTTGAATGTTGAAGTGATTAAGTCGAGGGAAGTGAAGAATTAAAATGTTCATGATTTATGTTTTCAGAGGAAAGAAGAAGCGATCGACAAAAAAACGTCGCGACACCGACAGCAGTGAATCAAGTGACTCAAGTGATTCATCAGGAACTTCAAGCGATTCTTCCTCAGATGACTCTGATAGTGATGACGATAAACATCGTCGTCGCAAGAAAACTAAAAAGAATAAGGTGTGTAACTAAACTCCCACGCTTTAACTTTCTCTTTTCCTTTTCTTGTTTCTTATAAAAAAGACAAATTTCCATAACTTAATTTTCACAAAAAAAAAGAATTTAAAAAATAATTTTTCATTTGGTTTGTTATTTTAATAAGAAATCGCTTTCATGGAACATATTGACAATTTAAATTAATTAACTTCTCTGTATTTTCCACATTCCGCAACTTTTATATTCTCTCTTGAAATTTCAAACTGTCCTTAAATAACCGAAGCAAACGGAAAGGTATCTAGTAAAAGAAAACTAATAACACAAAAATTAATTAGTTAAGTTTTTCTTTACATTATTGGTATGATTTTGAAGATTATTTGATTTCATTTCATTATTATTGTTATTATTTCTGAAATAGTGAATCCATATATTTATTTATTTACTTATTATTTGTTTGTCATGTTTTCGTGAAGATGATTAAAAGAGCGATGCTGGTTTGGATAGGAATTTGAATTGGATCATCTAAGAGAAGTTACTAAGTGTGATTTTTGTTTAACATATATTTAATTAATGTTTCAAAATTGTTGAATCTTGAACATTAATCTCGTAAATTATTTTAAAAACATTTCCCCTTTCCAATCCATCATCAAAAGAAAGAAATTTCATCCTTTCATTAAGACATCCAGGCTCGTTTCTAATCAAAACTTTTATCAATTTATTTCTTCTTCCTCGATTATGATGATTTATGAGTCTTCATAAATAAATATTTGAAATATCTAAACTAATCGAAATAATTTCATTTTAAAGCTTCAAACATTTTTTAATTTCTTTCCTTTAATCGAACACAGAATTCTGAAAAATCATAAACTAAACTTTATTGATTTCTTTTTTCATTTGCAATGCTTCAAACCGTAGGATTTTTATTTTATAAATATAAATAACAAATTTATGTGACTTCTCAGATTTAAAAATAAGCAAAATTTGATGTGAGGTGACACGAGAACCTCAAAGAAATGTTTTCCCTTTATTTCTATTTTGGTTTCTTTTCTGAGAAATTGTTAAATAAAATTCTTGTTTGAAAGAAAGTTAATTGTTGTAAGTATAAAGCCACAAAAAAAGAAAAAATAATTAATTTTTCCACTCTAATTAACAAAGAAAATGTGTGTGTTCAAAGTTTAAAAACTATTTCCACATTTCATGACGATTTTGTGATAAATTTCGAAATTAAATAAATTTTCATTTTAATTAGAAGAAAGAAAAGAAAACTTTGACGATTTCTTTAAATATTTAATTACGAAACAAGTCACAAAGTTTTTATGATAAAGAATTTTGTTATTTTTTATGATTTTTCTGATATCTTTTTTTCTAAAACTAACGTGACAAGTCATCGTTTGTTATCATTAATTTCCTTCTTTTTTTCTCCTTTTTCTCATCATCGCGCAGAAGAAGAAGTCAAAGAAGAAGCGAAACGTTTCACGAGATCGTTCATCGCGTGACAGGTGAGACAGATAATTAAAAGTTAATAAACTTTTAAATCTAATAAATTTCTTCAACAGTTCTGTAGAAAAAAAGAAATCAAAGGCAGACAAGCGCGATGTTAAATCGAAGGATAGGAACGTAAATGATCGTCGTGCACCAAGAAAGGAAGAAAAGGTTGAAAAAAGTTCACGTAAAAGTCGTTCACGTGACCGAAGTGACAAACGTCATCGTTCAATCAGTCGGAATCGTTCAAGGAAATCACGTAGCAGAAGCGTAAAGAAATCTGAACGACCAAGCAAGTCTTCAGTGTCACCAAAACGTTCAAAACACTCAAAAACTCCTGAACGTTCTCGTAATGATCGTGGACGTCGTCGTGATAATGAAGAAGTTCGAAGAAATCAACGAAGTCGTTCAAAACAAAAGCAAAAGGAACGTTCACCGACACCAAAGAAAGTTATTAAAAGAAAATCACCGACTCCGAAAAAAGTTGAGAAAGTTTCTTCTTCACGGCGCAGTAAATCCCCAAGACGTCGTTCAATTTCACCAAAACCACCAAGACGTCGTGATGAAACGCCACCAAAAAGTCGACAAAGTAATCGAAAACGAACATTAACACCGACAAGATCACCAAGAAAACGTTCAGTTGAACGACGACGGTCACCATCACCGAAACGTTACACACCAGAAAGACGCAAAGAGAAATCAATTGAGAGACGTCGACCGTCACCAAGATATGCACGTCGTCGAACACCGTCACCAGCTCGACGTCGAAGTTCATCAAGAGATCGAAGAAATCAACAACAGAAACGATCGACATCAAGAAATCGTCGAGATCAGCAAAGGAGAAAGTCGCCAGTTTCTCGAAAGAGATCAACAAGCAGATCTCGTTCGCCAATTCCAAGGAAATCTTCACGATACAGTCGATCACCAGATTCAAGAAATCAACGAGTTAATGATCGCCGAACTCATAATGAGAGACGATCACGTTCAAGATCACTCAGTTATTCACCAGCACGTCGTAATCCGGAGAAGTATCGTGAAATTCTTGAATCAAAAATGCGAGCTAAGAAACCAGCGCCAGTTGTGAAACTTCATCCAGTCACTGATGACCGTGACAGTTCTGACAACGAAACACGCAGCGAATCAAAAGTTGAAGACTTCTTACCTGTTATTGATAAAAATCAAGACAAAGAACTGAATCGATTGAAAGCTTTAAAATCAGAACTCGCAGCAAAAGCAAAAGAATCGCTCGAGAAGAAAATAATTTCGGAAAGCGCTTCATCATCAATTGTACCTCGTCATATTTCACCAACAAACATTGAACCAGAACGTGCACGTGAAATGGAAATTGTTGCACAAACGAATGCCATAAACACGAAAGAACAACAAGCGGCTAAAGAGCGTGAAAGTCAGAAGAAAATAACAATTAAACCGTTTAAGATTAGCAGTGATGCATCACCTCAGAAGAACGTCGTTGAAGCTGTTAAAACGACTTCAACGAAAACGGATGCAATTGTAGAAAAAGAGAAAGAAAAAGAAAGAAAATCAAGAAGTCGGTCAAGATCATCGGGAAGGTGAATTCTGTTCAGTTAAATTCTTAAATACTTTAAGTTTGATGTCATACTTTTAGGTCACGCGACTCATCCACATCTAGTGAAAGTTCTGGAAGTTCACGTTCAAGATCATCAAGTGGATCTAGTCGTTCAAGTCATTCAGATGCTTCCAGCAGTTCATCAAGTGCTTCAAGTCACTCGGAACACTCGCGACCACGTTCACGTCATTCGGCTTCCATTCCACGACGTGCTGGAAGTCCTTCGTTCCTTGACAGACGACGAATCACCAGGTAAAGCTGAATTCTTGCAAAGCACGAATTATTGTTTTCTTTCATTATTATTTTACCAATTTTTCTTTCTTTATTAGATCAAGGTCACGATCCCGTAGTAAAGGCTATCGACGAGCACGTCGATAAGCTTTGCTTTATCATTTAATTTTTCCTTTTAAGTAGCTATAATTGAAGTTTTATTTACTTACTTTCTCCATCCCTTAACTGAGATCTTATTTACTTAAATATCAAGATGATCATTTGACTGTTTGAATTTAAACAGCACGCGTTACGTGTGCTTGCCAATAAAAACTTTTTTTCTGCATATTTTTATTTATTTTTTTATTTTGATGTGTTGAAGACAAGCTGAAAAATCTTATCGAATAATGCTTGAATATTTTTTACTTTTTCCCTTTCACATTATTTGTTTTGATGTCATTTGAAGTAGAGATGAGATTTGAATGTTTTTGAAGTTGAAAATGACAAATCAAATCAACATCTCTCACTTTTATGATGATTTTTTGATGTTTTCAGTTGATTTTTTAGGTAAGAGCTAAAAAACTCAAATGCTTTGATGTTGTAAAATTAAAGTCGATTTTTTATCATAATCAAAACTAATATTTTTACAAATTTCTTAATGCTTACTCAATTAATCAATAATCAATACTAACCGGTCAACTAACGTAGTGCACGTAAGCGACCCATTCCATATCAGCGCCCTGGAGCAGCACCACATGGCTCGAATTCCGAAGGAAGTTCACGGAGCTCAAGTGTTTCAACGCGAAGTCGACGTAGCTTGAGTCCATAATTAATAGCATCTTTATTTGACAAAACTGATTTCTAGTCTCCTTACTCAACAACATTAACCTCTTATCTAGTCAGATGATTCTAGTTTAATTACGATTTTTTTTTGTTTTGTGCAATTTATGAAGAAAACAAGAAAATCAGATGATATTAAAAGTGAGAACTTTATTAAATTAAAAGCAATGCCATTTGAATGGTGAAAGATTTCTTCTTTAATTTTATATTAAAGAAAAAATACTCAACTTGAAGTTAATAAATAATTTAAACAGAAAGATTTGATGTGAATGTCAACTCAATGATACTCTTTAGAAATTCACTGATAACGAAGTTATTAATAAAAGAAACAAAATCTTAAAAGATATTGAAACTGGAATTTTATTTAATTGTTTTCTAATTTAAGTTAAAGAAAAAACATCGGCAATAAGATAGTGAAAAACAAGTTTTTGTGCAACAAAAAGTAAATGTTGATTAACTGGGAAATGAGGAATGTGTAAATACAGTCTCAGACTTATTCTGTAGCTCTCGTAAATTTTATCACAAATCATAAAAAAAGATATTTGCAATCTTATCATCAAAACTTGTCAACTTGTTGGATTACTTTTCTTTCTTAGCGGCAGCAGCAGCTCGTCGACGCTTATCAGCCATGTAAATAACCCAGAAAAATCCAATAATGTTGCTGACAAATACTCTCAACATTGGTGGAACGAAATTAAAGTTCAAGAACACTGGAAGTGTCAAATAGCGCCAATTTGCTAGAAGAACTGTCCTGTACAGTTTAAGAACATTTTGTGTTGCTTGATCGGGAGTCTTCCCTTCAAATATCGTAAGGAAATACAAACTTAGTGCACAGAATATCGGCGCATAGGTAAATCTTTCCAATAGAAACTCAAGGATTCTTCTGAATGGAACGTCAGGTACAATTCGACTGATGAACTCATAGAAATAATGAGCGAATGGACCAGCAACAAATGCACCAAAGGCAGTATAAGCAAACACAGCATTTGGGTTAAATGGTTGGCCACTAAGCTTCTGTGAAGTAATAGCACCAGCAGTAGCAATAACGGAGCTATGTACAAAAAAGAAAGTCTAAGCTTATCGGTTGATTAATCTTCAGTCAAAGTTCATCTTACCTTGTTATTGATTTTGTTCTAATTGGATTGTTAAAAAGTTGTTCGAAATAAAATCCCAAGAAATTATAAACTGGCTTTGACAACGACATGATGAATGACTTTATCTTCTTCTCAACTTAGAATAAAAAATATTCGCTCCGTTAATGATGAACTACAAAGTCCAATAAAAAAAATAATAATCAACACAAATGATGCGAAAGAGTTTGTTGCCCCCCTCGAACACATGATGCAAAGATTAAAAAAATAAAACAACAATAAAATCTTACATTGAAGAAAAAAATAATTCACGCGATTATCACGAGTCACTGTCTCCGATTTCTTAATAAGAAAATATATAATCAACAACAGCGTAGTTGAGAGTATAGTGAAAGAGTGAAGATTATATTTTGAGAGAGTTGTAGTCTTTTAAAAATGGTGAGTTGACAGAGAACTTCCTTTGTTTATCATCTGATTTAGTAAAGAGAAAAATTAGAATGCTCGTAAAATCGTCTCACGCGGATTTAAAAACATCGTGATTAAACAGAAACGAAATATCAACGTTGTTTGTCGATTGTATACGAGGAATTGAAATCTGTTTGCAGTGACACATTTATTAATGCTTTCGATTCATATTGTGTGTGCCCTTGAAAACATAAATTCTAAGTTATCTATTCTGTTGTTGTATATTTTAGGACACAATGGTATCATCGTCCATTATGCAACCAGAACCATCGGGCCTAAATCAAGGATGTGATGATTTACTCTCAGAATTTGAATCACTTTCAATTACACAGCCATCGTTCGTAGATATCGACAACAGAGGCAAATCCTTTGTGATAATTGACTCGAAGGAAAATTTTGTACCAACAGACATGGAATCATTTCGAAAGAAACTAGGCTTGCATAATATCGATACAAAACTCAAAGTTGTAGCAATATTTGGAAACTCTGGTGATGGAAAGTCACACACAATGAACAATGTTTTCTTTAACGGTGACGAGATCTTTAAGATGAGTTCAGAACAGAACTCATGTACAATGGGTGTGAATTGTTTTCATAAAAAATGCTTCTACAATCATGATATACTCTGCATCGATACCGAAGGACTTCAAGGTGTCACGCAAAACGAAAATCAGCAACATCGAATGCTTATGAAGGTGTTGGCAATATCTGACATTATCATTTATCGTACAAGAGCTGAACGTCTTAATATTGACATGTACAAGTTCCTTGCAACTGCCTCAAAGACTTATCTCAAACATTTCAGTCCAATGCTACATGCTGCATCTTCCACAACTTCCACGAAAGGACCTGACGTTATTATCTTCCATGAAACGCACAATACAATCCCATTGACCTCAAGTGGGTGGATGCAATTGTAGTGTAAAAACAAAATTTGACGTCATTCCTTGTTTATTTTCAGATTTGAACGACGAAAGCCCTGAACGTGTGATACAAGAGAAGTTTGCTGATATGAAACAAAATATTGACGCTTTTAATTCATTGCATTACGTCGGCATTCGAACGAGTCAAACTCCAACAGATTATCAACCTTTGAGGAGCATTTTGAAGAAAACTATCGAAGCCATTGATGAAGAAAAAACGAGACCGATACGAACATTTCGAAGCATTTATGAAGCTCTTTTAATGCTGAACGAGAAGTTCTCTGGAGATATTGATGGAGCACATTACACATTTCATGAGCTTCATTTTACTTGCGATATGGTGTGTGAAGCTTGTAATCAGCGCTGTGAGAATACGAAAAATCATACAAAAGATGGAATCGAGCATAAGAATGATTCAGCATGTCAATACCAACAGATTTTGAACAACAAAATCTATCTTTGCAAGAAGTGCCATATAAATGGAAATGGACGAAGAATTGTGAGAATCAATGACTCATGTGGTGATTCAACATGGATGGGATTAGCAAAATATGCGATGAGTTTAGGTGGAACGCAAATACAAAAATTAGATTGTGTTAGTTGTGGTGAAATATTTCGTGCAAAATGGTATGGAAATAAATCACCGGAAGAGATTTGTGTTTTGTAAGTTTTTCTTCCTGATTTCTTGTTCTATTAAATGCTGATTCTGCTTTTAAATTTTTTCCCTTAGAGCTGAAGCAGTTCATGTATGGAGAGATGGATCTTCAAGAAATCAAACCGCGACACATTCAGCTCAAGCAATTCTTGATGGAGTTTCTTACATAAGCGAAACAATTTCAAATATTGGCGCACAACCTACAAAAACACTTTCATCGTGGGTGGCTGATAATTTAGTGAATCCAGCCTATTGGCGGCCCAACAGTGAAATAAGTTGCTGTAAATCGTGTCGAATTAATTTTCAAAGAAATGGTCTAAAGATTCACCATTGTAAGTAAAAAACCTGTTTTCATTACAAAACTAATAATAAAAAATTATTCAACTCAGGTCGCAATTGCGGTGAAGGTTTTTGTTCGAATTGTTCGAGAAGTCGAATGGCTGTACCAAAGCGTGGGTGGGGAACTGAATTGGTTCGTGTATGCAACACATGTCGAGATGAATTACAGAAAAATGAAAACGGTAATAGTGATAATCAAGGTTGGTAGATGCGCTTGTTTTCATTAAAGTTTTGGAGAAATTGAATAATAATAACATTGATAGGGGTCTGTGCGAATATTTTGATAAATATTGAGATTCAGAATTTGTTGATGGTCAAAAATGACTTTTTCATAAACTCTGGAATTCTAGTACTCCTTGTGACCTTTGATAAGCTTATCACCCCTGGAAATATCAAACATAATTTCTGAACACATTCTTCACTTTAATATTCGCGCAAACCCTTGCGACACACAAAATTTCATTCATAGCGTAGTTCAACCATTTCATTTGCCATTGACCTTTTATGATTCATTGTCATGATCAAAACATTTTTTTTCTTTTTCTTTCGCTTACGTGACGTACAGAAAATCAAGACGAAGAAGCAAAAGCTGTTCGAGTAAGGAAATATGGTGAAGTCTTTGCAAATTGTGTGTCATCAGTGGCGTCAGCGTTAGAAATTCCCAAAGAAATGATAAAAGATTCAGTTCGTCCCGATTATTGGGCGAAAGATTCTGAGTCACCTTGTTGTGCTTTGTGCAAGCAAATCTTTGGCAATACAGACGACATGAACCAATCTGAGATGTTCTATCGCGAATCAAGCGCGGGATCTGGTAGCTCACAAAACTCACCCATTCACAATGTCATCGATATTCGCAGACATCACTGTCGCGGTTGTGGTGTTGCGGTGTGCAATAAATGTTCGCTAAACAGACAACCTGTACCTGAACATGGATGGAATACAAACGTTCGTGTTTGTGATAATTGTTGGAACAAGAAAGACGATTGAATCAACAACCTGATCATTGTTATTCTTCTTACGCGCTTTCAATGTATTCCATTCTCTTCCTCCCCCAACATACTTTTTAATTACTTAGACAAATTGAAAGTTGCTCCGAGTCACTTTTATTCCTTTCATACTTACTTTTTGTCCTTTAAATCCAACGAAGAAAAATATTTTCTTGCTGATTTATTTATAATCCTTTTTGATTTTATTTAATATGTAGCCAAAAACCAGCCACAAACTTTTTTATATCTGTTTCTTGTGGAAGAAAGTAAAAAAATGATATTTAATGTATTTACAATTAAAATAAGTAAAGAAAAGTTTAAAGCTTAAATTATGGGAAATTGTTGAAAATAAATGTTCTTCTTGTACTTAAGTATGATGAAGTTTGTTGCCCATGTGTGTATGGTTTTATATTTTATGATTTAAAGAAATGAAAGTAGATTTATCAATTTTATTTATAAAATATTTTATTTCATTCAGAACTTTATCAACAACGAAATCAACCTTGGATGTCATAAATTCTTACAAGATGATCATTTCCGCAACTTGCCAGCTGAAAACCAGAAAAATTTGGTCGAAATTCAAGTTTGTTTACAGACAAATGATGGCCGTCTGAATGATTTAATGTTGTTAGGCATTCAAAGGATTTTTCATTGAACTTATAAATATGAATTATTCCAGATTCTAAACCAATAGCCAGAAGATATCCATTAAATGATAGTTGTGCAAATGCTAAAGCTGTAACTGAGGAAGTTTCAAGTACAAGTGTGGCAACTGATTGATAATCCTTCAATGACGAATCTTGAACTTCATTGGACTTTGTCCAAACAACAACTTTTCCATCACGAGAACCTGTCGCAAAGAACTTATCATCGTGTGACCAACAACAACACCAAATAATTCTCTCATGAATTCCATTATTTCGATCAGTATAAGCAACTGCTTCGAAGCATTCTTCATTATTCTTTTCAAATATTGTCAATCGTCGATCTCGTGACACTGAAAGAAGTCGATTTGAATCATGTGAGAATTTCATTTGTGTTACTGTCAATTTATGTGAACGAAGACGTTGGAGAATTTTCCAATTATTTGTATTCCATAAAATTATTTCGGAATGTTCAACAGTTGTTGCTTTACATGCTGACGCAAGAATTTTCCCATCAATTGTCGCTGCTAATGAATAAAGTTCATAACCATGTGCATAAAGTTTCTGCGATTCCGGCCACAATGTATTTTGAATGAGATATTCTTCAGTTGGTGGCGATTGCATTGTCATTGGTACGAAATAATTCTCTGGATATTCATCTTTAAACTTCTTCTCTTCATCGACTTGATGTTTAAGATCTTCTTCATAAACAGCTTTATTTGATAATCCAAGTGATGGAACTGAAGCGCCTTTCTGATGTGTCTTCAAAATTTCATCGCCTTCCAAATCATTCTCACTGTTGACAAGATTTCTAAAGTTTTCAATGAAATTTCCAGGTGCTTGGAAAGTTCTCACGATTTTCTCTTCAGCTGCACTTGCAAACTTATATCGAGATATTACAGCAATACATTGCATGTCATATCCATGAACTTGTGGCCGTGAAATTTCGTGATAATTCAAACATTTGTTCATTGTCCAAGCAGCATGAATTCTTGTTGTTTGATCAGTTGACACTGAAAAAAGAAATTCTCCTTTTGGTTCCCAACAAATGTCCTTAACTTCTTTGAAGTGTCCGCTGTTAATTACTCCTGGTTCCCAATGCCTTTCATTCTCTTTACTTTGGTGCCACAAATGAAGACTCCCTTGAAATCCATGACCGATAATTGATTTTCCATGTGAATGAAACTTTGCACCGTAAAAGCCAAGACTGTTTCCTCCAACATCGCCAACTCTCATTTTTTCTGTCCAAACACCTTCATCGTTGTCAAACGTCCAAATGATCATCGTTTTATCCATGGAACTTGATAACAGTTGAAGTGCACCGTCGTCTTTATTTTTATTCCAACAAACACTGTAAACCCAATTTTCATGTCCTTGAAGAACAGATTCAAGTGATAAGACGAATGTTTTCTTTCCTATCGCAAATGTTCTCTCGTCAACTTTAATCAGCTCATCAACAGAAATTTCTTTCTTTATAGATCTTTCAGAAATTCTCCACAGACGAATAAATGAATCTTGAGATGAAGTAGCAAGTAAAACATCTCCAATATTATCAAGAGTAAAGTCAAGACTTCGAACCCAATCTTCATGACCAAGCAATGTTTCCAATTTATCAAAATTTTGTGAAGAAGTTTCACCACAAATATGAACTTTATCGTCATCAGTCGCAAAAGCAAGAAGAATGTTGTTGGTTGGTAGTACAAAGAGTTTCACAGCAAAACAAATTCCACTTGAGAGATTAAAAACTTGAAAACTTGAAATTTCTTTTTCTTCCTTCTCTGGTTTGAACCGCCAAAGTCTGACAGTTGAATCTGCTGATGATGTCACAATTGTAATCTCATTATTGTGAAATACCGCATCAACACTTGTAACACTATTCTCATGACCATTTAAAGAAATTTTTCTGTAATCATTGGGAGATTTTATATTCCAATAAATGCAACGTGAATCGTCTCCACCGGATACAAGTTCAAATTCAGCCTGATTGTTTCTTTGTATCCACTTGACTGTATTTACTCGTTCAGTGTGTTCAACCAATGTTTTTATTATCTTACATGAGCCATTTATCTATGAAATAAATGATACTTTCGTAATAATTTTAAATTTGCTTTCATTTTTCTATCACTTACTGTTGGACTAAGTATTGCAACTGCATTACAAGCACCATAACAAATTAATCCATTGCTACCCCAATCTAAAGATGAAGGTGTTCTATTAACACCAATTGATGTATACACATTTTTCACAATCATTCTTATTTTGTTTCAAATTTCCAGCTCAATTCTTAAAAATTAAAAATAAACCTTGAAATAAACAAAAACGTGAGAATCAAAATGATGCGAAATAAAAGTTGGATGAAGCTAAAATTGATGCAAAAAGTTGCGCAACCCGATTCAAAGAAAAATTGAGAAGAAAAAAGAGTTCGGGGGTTTGTTGCGGACGTAAAGAAAATCAAATTTTATTGACTAATATTAGGTCGATTGACTTGTGAAAATGTCGAAAGTGTAAAGAATGTTTAGTGACAAAAATAACTTTTTGTGAAGACTTTTTCGATTTTCATCGGAAAAGTGAGTAAAATGAAGTTTAAATTTGTTTCTTTTTTTCCTTGTTGAAAAATCCTTTTTTTTCGTCACCATTTTTATCCTTGCTGAATCATTTTCCATATTTTTCATAAAATAATTGATTTTATCATTACAGAACATATACCAAAATTCTCATATCTGCCAATAAAATAGTTTAAAGATGCATGCTAGTAGCAATTCCAAATCTAGCAGTTCTGACGACGATTTATTGCTTGATTCAGAACTGTCGAGTGCTACACGTAAGAAACACTTCCTTGATTATGATTATGACCATCAGTCACCTCCAACAACAAATCTAACTAAAATCAGTGAAGCACATGGTTCGAAAATGATTTCAAAAAGCGGTAATTCCATTTCAATGAACAACAATAACAATGCCGCCGTTGATTCCAAGAAAAAGATAATTGAGCGACCATCTACATCAAAAACGGCAACAATCGATCAAATGAATTCAAAAGCGGCTAATGTCGATTCGGTTTACTCAATTTTATCCATGTTAGGATCAATTAATTCAGCCGATGTGACCGCAAAGTTTCTTGAATTCTCAAAAAATCGTGAAATGTGCGCACAACTTCGACTTTCAGGTTGCATTTCTTTGCTTGTCCAAATTATTCATTCGGATCAATGCGACGAAATTAGACACAAGGAGTGTCTGCAGACATTACATAACATCATTCATTGTCATCCGGATGATAAAGCGGGTCGTCGTGAAGCTCGAGTATTGAAGTTAATTGAACAACTTTTTGATTATTGTGACTCACTTCGTGCAATTCTCAACAATGAACTGAGCGATAGTATTGATCGTTATCCAATTCAAGCGATCGGAACGTTAATGAAAATCAGCTTTGACGAAGAACATCGTTATGCAATGTGTCAGCTTGGTAAATAAACATTTTCATTAAAAGTTTTTAATTGAATTAAATTAATTTTTTTTTCTTACAGGAGCAATTCAAACAATTTCAACATTGATCCAATTAGATCATGCAGTTCATGGACCACTTTCAGTTGATTCTAATTGTGTGACAATGCGACGTTATGCTGGAATGTGCTTAACAAATCTAACATTCGGTGATGGCAACAACAAAGCTTTACTTTGTTCAAATAAGAACTTTATGCGAGCTCTCGTCGATCAAATCAATTCAAATAGCGATGAATTAGTGCCAGTGACAGCGAGTGTTATAAGAAATCTTTCATGGCGTGCTGATACAAATATGAAAGAAGTTCTCAACGAAATTGGAACTGTTAAGACATTAACAGTCGTTGCTATAAAATGCACACAAGAAAATACATTGAAAGCCATTTTATCAGCACTTTGGAACTTATCGAATCATTGTGCCAAGAACAAAGCTGAATTTTGTGAAATTAATGGTGCCATTGAGTTCTTAATTGACATGCTTTCATATGAGGCTCCGAGTAAGACAACATCAGTCATCGAGAATGCTGGCGGAATTTTAAGAAATCTTTCAACTCACATCGCACTTCATGAAGAACTTCGCGTAATTTTAAGGAGAAAGAATTGTTATGGAATTCTGTTGCAACAATTAAAGTCGCCGAGTCTTACAGTTGTTTCGAATGCATGTGGAACGTTGGGAAATCTTTCAGCACATTGTGTTGACGATCAGAAATTTCTGCGCGACAATGGAGCAATTCCAATGTTAAGATCGCTCATCTTTTCGAAGCATAAAATGATATCAACTGGAAGTACAATTGCATTACGTCACTTAACAGCTTGCAAGTCGAATGTTTCACATAATGGAAATTTAGATTCGGTTGCAAAAATGATGGATTTGAAAGAACTTCCAACGTTAAATGTTCGTAAGCAAAAAGCACTGGAACATGAGTTGAATATGTCGCGACATGTTGACGACACATCACCATCATCGAAAGATGACAAAACGAAAGATTTCAATGGAACATCGAAAGAAAAATCATCAAAACATAAAGTACAAGATATTGAAGATGATGACGAAGATTCGCCGACAAACTTTAGTAAATTTGATGATGATCAAGATGAACCTGAACAGGAGACTTATCAAGAGACAAATCTTGACCAAATTACTGACTATTCAATACGATACGCTGAAAATCAATCAGATTCTGATGATGAAGTGAAGAAACCTACAACTAATAACGACGACACAGTAAAATGTTACAACACTGAAGGTACACCACACGCTGTCCTTTCCAGTGCTGGTTCCTTAACTGATTTACGTAAGGAAAAGTTAAAGAAAAGTGTCGAGGAAGCCAAAGTTTCGTCGCATGTTTCAGGCACTCAAAGTCCTGAGAAAACTGTCAATTACTGTGTTGAAGGTACGCCAGCAAATTTCAGTCGTTGCGATTCTCTTAGTGACTTGGAAGAAGGTTTAGAAGCGAAAGCTGAGAAAGTGGAAGTGAAGAAAACGCCAGTTAAAGTTCCACCACCACCATTGACGATTCGAAAAGAATTTCATGGAGAGAAGGAATCAGTTGCAGCAACACCAAAGTCAGTTACATTTGTGAACACAGCTGACGAGACACCTTTGATGTTTTCGAGGACAAGTTCGATTGGATCACTTGACAGTGCGGATCCAGTATTTGCTGATGACAAGAGTTCTGTCGTTAGTGACTTTAGCCGTTTGGCCAGCGGTATAATATCACCGTCAGAGTTCCCTGATTCACCGACACAAAGCATCCCGCAATCACCATCGAGACTTCAAACGAGAGGGTATCAGAAACATGCGACAACATCACGAACACCTCCACTTCCAGTCACAAGAGAAAATCTCGGAGGTGAAGCTGCTGAAGACGCTACAAACACATTTCAAATTGAAAACACGCCAGCAACTTTCTCTTACGCGACAAGTTTAAGTAACTTGAGTTTTGACGATGAACCAAAGATTTCAACTGACGCCATTTCAAAAGATTTTCAACTTATGAAGCATCCGAGTGTTGATGAAGATGATCAAAGAGTTAGAAGATCGCCAATTAATGAAAATACTGGAAATGATGTAACTCAAGAACAGCATGATCAACAGCCACCAGACACAGCTGATCATTCCGATGTTGAATCAGCTGATGACAATATTCTACTTGAGAGCTGCATCAACATTGGAATGAATCGAGTGACCAAAGCATCTGGCAGTGGAGTTAACAATTTAGGTGAGTTAGTCATTTTTTTTATTCTTGCATTGTTGTTGAAATTATTTTTCGTTTTTATTAGAAAATGACTCCAATGCATCTGGAATTAACAAAAATCTTACAACAAAGGTTGTAAAAGAAAATCCTATTGACATGATGCGAGGTGGTGCACCATTATTGCCACCATATCTTCCAGTTCATGACGAAGTTAATAAGTTTACTGTTGAAGATACTCCATGTAATCTTTCAGTGATGTCAGGATTGTCAGCAATAACAATGGAATCAAATATGAATGCAATTCAAACGCAAAATATTAAAAAGTAAGTAGAAAAGTTCGAGGGACGAAGGGATGAAAAAATAACTCTCGGAAGGGAAATTTTTCTGTTAATAGAAAAAGTTACTTTATTAATTTAATTTCGTATCTCACTTTTCACAGATTCATTCAAAGACCTACAGCGAAAATCGAACCAACAATTCGAAGCGATGAAGCTGCTGGAACATCAAAGAAATCACCAGCAATGCTTGCACCTCAAAAAGTTGACTTTGAAGACTCGTTAAGTTCGCTATCAATTGAATCTGAAGATGATGGTAATTTATTGAGTCAGACGATTGCAGCTGGCTTGAATAAGCCAGCAAAACAAGATACATCAACAAGTCATCCGATAAATATTCCAACAAAACCGCGAGCTTCAGCAGAATTATGCAATGAATCAATAAGCTCTGTAGATTCGTGTGGAAAAGAAGATGCAAATGTAATACTAGAACAATGCATTCAAAGCGGAATAAATAAAGTCGTGAAGAAAGAAACAACAAAGAGTAAGTTAGTAACATCGTCGCCTAAGAAATCAATGCTACCAAAGCCCGGGACAAGTAAACTTCCGAAACCAGATAAAAAGATTCTCGAAAAGAAAGATGAAGAATTACTTCAAGAATGCATCGCAACTGGAATTTTAAAGAACACGAGACAAGATAAAAGTAATCTCGTTCAAAATTTCACACAACTTTCCATTTCGGATCCAAAAAACGCGCAATCTACGTCTGTAATTGCAATGGACAATCATCATCATCAATGTGTGTCCACAATTACAGGCGTAGAAGTAAAAGTCGCAGAGAACAACACGACGATGATAAACAGCAACGAATGCAACTTCTCGAATCACGGCCAAGACGAAAATATCGCTTCAAAAAGCGAACTTTCTCCCCAGGAAAATTGGATGATGCAAAATGGGTTTGATTTGAATTTATCGCTTGGCAGTATGGATGAGAATATTTTGGAAAGATCAAACGAATATCCAGCTGCAAAGCCAACCATGAGTGCTTATGGTGACTTTGATGATGATTCAATAATGGAAGTGTCAAATGAGTTCATGATGGAGAACGAGAAGATGGCAGAAGCAAAAATTGAAGACAAACACAAAGATCCGGATTTAATGATGAAATCTGTCGATAGATTAACACAAGAATTAGTTTCAACTGCTGAGTTTCTAAGAAAAAATGCATGCAGTGACGATAGTGGTGAACAGAAGATGTCAAACAGCATCAGCAACAACACATGGAATGATGAAAATTCTTTTCCAAGCATTAGCATTTCTGCTCCGATGATTGCATCAACGAATGACGAAATAACAATTGCAACTGATCAAATTTATCCAATGCCAGAAGAGAAAGTCGAACCGCAAATTTTTGACGATAAAACACCAACAAATGAAGTTTATAAGTTTGACGTTACCGACGCTCCACCAGCACCACAACAACAACAACCAAAAATTGACTTCAAAGTTGGCGGCGAAATTGGAACATCACAAACAGTAAGTAAACTAAATTTCATGTCATTCGGTCCGATGAGCATTGAAACTTGTTCAACCATGAGCAACTCGACAATTGTGCAAGTCGAAGCTAAGAGAATTGCTAATAAGTTGACATCATTGACAAATCGCTTAATGGACAGCACGACAAGTTTAGATTTGGAGAATGTTCAACCACCATCGAGTATGGATTGCATCAGTTTAAACAGTTATCAAGACATTTCAATTCAACAAAGTCCATTGAAGCAATCAAAGAAGCAACTGATGAGTGGACTTGTAGCGAGACGGGCATTATCAGGGCAACAAATGTTTAGTGGAAGTGCTGAAAGTGTTAACATTGAAAATATTCGACCACCAAGTATCATGGACGATCTTCTCGATTCAATGATCAGCGTTGATTCGATTGTTAGTGAAATTGTTGATCCAACAACACTTGGCGGCATCTCAAACTATGAAACAGCAATCAGTGATATGGAAGATAGTTTGACACTCAGAAGTTGTCAAGATTTATCGAAAGATGATGGAACGTCATCTGACTTTAGCAGTGTTGAATCAACCCCAAAAAAGAAAAGAAATTCGCGAGCTATGACACCAAAACAGAAGCGACAATCGGATAAAGATCGTTACAAAACGTATACAATACAAGTTGACATGCTTTTGAAGGAACAGCACGAAACCTCGTCAACAGAATCAATGAGACGAAGCTTAAATGCGAGACAAAGACGACAAGAAGATCGTCAAAGATTTGAAACTCAAGTCATAAACTTGTCGTCATCGTCGCCATCACGAAGTCCAAGAAGAAAGGAAAATCCTGAACGTTTTAAAACTTACAACATTGAATCTGATGGAATTGACGACGATCCATCAATTCGTGAGATGACAGCAAACTTTGAATTTCTTCGTAATAGTGCAAGTAGCAAAGGAAATTCTTCAAATATCGAAACAGTCAACAACATCAGAGATAAATTAAATCAAATTCGATCTGGAAGTGGAATTAAACTTTCATCTGTTGATAGTCTCGAATATGAACCACAAACTTCCGAAACCGAATCGCAACGTGATTTAAAGAATTCTTTGAGTGATCAAAATTCTTCTGTTGAACAAGAACAAGTGGAAGTTTCTGTGAAAACGAAATCAACAAAGAATTCTTATATTTCACCATATCGAATGACGACACGACTTACACCGACGAAGAACAAAGCTGTGAAGATCATCAAAACACCTACAATTGCAAAAATTGTGACAAGAAATCAAAATGGCCTCGACTTAAAGACGCAAAGCGCTACAAAGAATCGTGTAAAGTCAGCACCATCATTGAAAACTTCAAACATCCCAAAATCAAATACGCCAGTTATGAAAGCAAAAGAACCGGAACCACCTGCAATGCCAATTCGACAAGGAACATTTATTCAAGATGAACCGACACTTGAAAATGTTCCCGTTGTCACTGACTTATCAACATCACCTTCTAAAGCTTCCGTTTCAAAACTTAAGCCGCCTTCTCGGGTTCCATCAGCATCTAAAATCCCAACAACACCGACAGGCGATCAGAAGAAGATGTCACCAAAGAAAGGAGCTTCCAACTTGCCAACTTCCGTTTCAAATCTTAAATTCCGATCAAACAGTAATGCTTCGATGAAGACTCCAGTTGTGACACCAGTGAGAAGTAACACGGGGATAAATTTGAGCAATCCTAGAAAGAATGTCACTAGTAAAATTGCTGGGATCTGGAAGAACACGGAGAAGAAAGAAATTTCAATAAAAAAACCAATTTCAACGACTTCAATCCAAAGCAAATTATCCTCCACACCATCAACTCGAAAGACAAATGAAGCAGCGAAAGGAACTGAAAGAATCAAACGAAGTTCAACATGCGAGGAGATTGGTGAGTCAAATTAAATTGCAAAGTTATTCGGAAAATATTAAAAAGTTTTTTATTCACAGTTTAAAGTCTTTGAATCCTTTTGTCATCACATCCAAAATGGAAATCTGTAACTTAAAAATGTTCCCATGATTTTTTTAAAGTGAAATTATTAGTTTTAAGTTTTGTGTCTAGTCTCTTAATCGATCACATTCATACAATTTTCTAATGATTTCTTTTTCATTCTATGCATATTTAGTGCCATAAGTAATTGCTTGATAATTCTACATTGCATTTATTTGTTTTATTAATCTTGTATTGTGAGAGATTTTTTCGTCTATAATTTTATTGAAAGAGCTTTTATTTGAGATTTTCTAATGCTTTTTTATACAAAAGCTCTTCCTGAGAACTTTTGATAAAAGCTTGTCTAATAAGAAAAAAACTCTTCACCAAATAATTTCTAAATTTTCATTCGAGGTTCTTTAGAAATTATTTCGTGGATTGAAATTTTCTCTTTGTAAGGATCCTTATTCAAGTTTACTGTAAACTTTCAAGTTTTCCTTTTTTAAGAAATTTAAAGAATTTATTGAAAGTTTATTTAGCTTAAAAGCTTGGCAATTTTGTTGTGCATTTTATTTCTACAATTTAAATCATAAATTTTACATTCATAAAATCAAATTGTTCTTTCTCTCTACATACATACATATATTTGAACGTTTAAATGAAAGCTAATTGTATTTTGTGAATCATAAAAAAATTGTGAAATAAAGTTAAATTAAATTAAAATAAAAAATTGTTTAATGTTTTTGTTGATTTGATCTTTCGACAAACATTGAATGTTTCAAACAATGTGGAATTTGAATTCAATTTTGAAGTTTTTGAAGGAAGTTTTAAACATTTAAAAGTTTTTAATGGTTTTCTTTCTGATGTTGTTTTTAATATTTATAATCTGCATAAATAGGCAAAGAAACAGAAAGACCCTCAACAGAAATTGTGGTGTTGCAAATCACATAATTTCATTTTATAGATTTAAATTTTTTTTATATTTACATTTCTATAAATATTTCATTTTAAACATAAGACAAGTTGAAATCAATTGCTTCATAAATATATGTTATTATAATTATTAAAAATGTATCATAAATTAAACAGTTGTTAGGTTTCCATTATTTCTAAAGTTGAGCTTTTATTTTTTTGTTATAGTTTCCTAGAAAACTTTTGAAAAGCTCATCAACATTCCATATGAAGCTCAATTTTTTTATATAAAAGGATAAGTTTTTCCTAGAAAGTCTCAGTTTAATTATTCTTGAAGAACTCAATAAACTGTGCGATGGAAACTTTAACTTTTGTACTTCTCGCAATTGTCATTGCTGTTGGTGAGTAGAATTTTATTTTATTCAAAAATTAAATATATAATTAATTCTTCTATCTTTACTTAGATGCAAGAAAGGTTTGCGTTCCTGTGCCGGATTCTGACCCATGCGCTTCATTAAGAGCAGCTGCAATGCCAATATGGCAAGAGGCTGCTCAAATGCTGAAAAATCTCAATACTGAATGCTCTAATGTACTAAACTCTTTGTCATTTGCAAACGAAATGGAATTTGATGCATTTAATGCCGAATTTTATACTACAGGCCATTGCATGACTACTCATCTTTCAGCCTCGGAAGGTCTGATTAATTCTATTGCAAGTATCGCCGGAATATATCATGATGTTTATTACGGGTTAGTCTACGGATTCTCTGAAAGAGAAGGCGATGCACTTTGTCTTGCTGAAGGTGATGCAAGTATAATCAACGCGTTCAGCGATGTTTTAAACGGATGGGTCAACATTATTCAATCAAAACGTCCAACCTAAATAGATGAAATTGATTCATCCCAATGAACTGTAGAATGACTTCAGTTTATTTAATAAAGTGAAAATGCTACAAAACTAAAAAATTCTTATAGGTAATTGACTTTTTTAGACAACAATAAGACTAAACATTTTCATGATTTTTCTTTTGTTAAAATAATGAAATGCGTTCAACTTTTTTGATACTTCGTCTGATCGATACTGACATAAATTGACATACAAATTGTCTGAATGATATTTGTTTAACTTATTTGCATAAAAAAACTTATTTTTTATGATCTAAGTAGTAAAAATGTGCTTGTCATTTGTTTGTCATGAACAATTGCATAATTCTGAGAGCTTAAGTAAGACGTATGAAGGCTTTTAAAGTCTTTTGATTAAACATGATGCAATGAAAAAATTTACCATGCCTTAATTCATCATTAGGATCATAACTCATCATAAGGATAAATAGTTAAAAAATCAAATATAAAGAAGACAAAGTAGATAGATATAAAAAATAAAAATGAACATTAAAACACGTCACTAGAATGAATACATTTTATATGCCTGTACAAAATAATCATCTGTTTGTAATCTGCATGAAGATCGTTTGAATTTAAGCACGTGTAGAAATTTCTAAAACAATTAAGTACAATTTTGTCTATTTTGGATCCTTTCAGTTTATGAAAAAAAGGTTTTGCATGAAAAAAAAGGTGGTGTTAAAAATTATTTAGGTAATAATGGACAGAACTAAGTCAGTTTACATATTTGAAATTAAATGAAGGAAACCAAGAATGAACAATTGTTTCAAATATGTATATATATAACGATTATATGTTTTAAAACTTTCGATCATAAAAAAATTATCTGTGAAATAACTAAATCATTGATGTTACTTATATGTGTCTATGAATAAAACTATAAATTCCTCTCTTCTTCAATATTTTGCCATGTTTCTTCATTCATATTTTTTTAAATGCATCTTTAAATTGATAAAGAGTTTTTTCGTTTATGAATTCCAAACAATCTCCATGTATCAAAAAGTTCTATAATTGTGATCATTCACATTCATATATAATTGTGGCTTCCTTCGGTTTGCATACATAAAGCTTACTATATTCCAAATAAAATGAAAACCCCTAGAAAACAAAGAAAAAGGATTCTTATATTAAACTATCTATATCGATAGCACAAACATGTTTTAGGCACAAAATTGTTTTATTTATCAAATGTGCCACGAAAGTTTGTTTTGTCGATCTAAAGAAGCAAGTCATGTCATCACAAATACAATGAACTTGACTAAAATGAACATTTGTTTAAACATTTTTGCATATTAAAGTCAGTTATTTGTTATTTTCACAGTTTAATATCACTAAAGATGAAATGAATCAGTTTTGTAAGAATTTCCAACTGACTCCTGTTTTTAAACATTTCTTTTAATTCGTTTTTTTATTTTTCTTAAGAGGTTTTTAGCATCTTCACAACTTCCAACATTAAGAACTGTTGAATTGAATTTACATCAATCTCTTTTGTATCAATTAGATATGCCATGTTCGTCGAGATATTTCCGAGGCCATGTTCGACGAGATATTTCAATAAAGTTTGAGGCTCGAACATTATTTGTAACGAGAGAATTAGGGTAAAACTGATTTGATCGAGACGATCGGATCGAATTATTCTCCGAATATCTTATCAGCTGTACAGAGAATTCTTGCGTATTCTATCAACTTTATTTTTTATTTGTTTTCATATGGAATTTCGTATAATTAATGATCAACATTATTCTTGGAACGGACAGTTTAAAAATATCGAGAATGTCATAGTCACTGATTGTACTGGAAATACATTCACGATCATCACTCAATCTTTTTCTCATGTCATCATAAATTGTGCTGATATATTCCCAAAAACTTTTTGGGCCAAAAAGTTCAACACATTCACCTTTATGCCGGAAATCTTCATCTCCTACCAGAAAATCTTGCAACATTCTTGATCAGTCACTTCCGAAGCATTTGCCACACAACTGATAATAAAACCGATTGAAATTGAAATTTTCATCTTCGCTTCTTAAAATTTCTTCTTCATATGAACTGAATCTAAATATTAAAAAATAAAAAATATTCTGAGAGATGAAAAAGAAGAAATTCTCGCTAATCTTGAAAGACTTGTTGAGTAATTCTGAAAATATTGAAATCTTTATTCAAATTTCTTGTAACTTCACAAGTTTATAAAGAATTTATTGGCCAACAAATATCGGCAGATTTTTCTACGGTATCGCCAATTTCTTTATCAATTGACTTTCTTAATCCGTCTTTCTTTTCTTTCTCCATTTCAATTCCATACAAAGCGTTGAATCTGAATCTCATTTTATCGTAGCCCAAATCTTTGATCCTTGCTAGGTAGCAATTAATAACTTTTTCATCGGTTCCTTTAGACTCTAAATCCTTTCTCAAGCGTTTGTAAACTCTCACTACATATTGCTTTAACACTTCGACACAGTCAATATCTTTGATGTCATCAGCAAGAAGAGTTGTGTAAAGATTAACAGGATTTTCAACGTCCAAAAGATTTTCTTTTATCACCAATTCTGTTTGACAATACGTGTCAACATTTATGTTATAAATTTCTTCCTTTGTCAAGTCATCTGCTGGTGCAGTGATATTTCCCAAAGCAGCGTTTGAGACTCCCAGAACAAGAAATAAAATGTATGTTTGATACATCACGAGAATTGAAGGAAACTAATTAACTTCTCATCTTTTGCGGAATATTTAAAGAGATTTGAGAATATTTTGATGAGAAAGTGTTATCAATTTCTTAGGAAATTGAGAAAGAAAACAAATGTAAATAAAATCATTTCAACTGAATTCCATTTCTGAGATGAGAGAATTGAATATTTTTTGTTTCTTTATTTGAAAATATGGCTAATCCCAGCGTTGCTCACGTGACGGTCACAAAATTCAAAGGTGAATATAATATGTATGGCTTGAGCTTTTACCGAAACTACTTACACTTTTAAATAGGGCTTATCAAGTACTATTTTTAGAAAGAAAAGTTTAAGCGAATATCTAAGCAGAAAGTTTTGTACGATGCTTTATGTACCGTTGCTCTCGTTCACTTTTTAACCACCACTTTTCACATGCAATTTTCAACTTCAAAAATTTCTAAAAGTATTTGAGTGAAAAATCTGAAAAACTCAGAAGAAGTTGAGGAACTAATAAAGATTGATTTCTGAGAATTGCAAGAAATTTGAACAACTATTTTTTTTCCTGTGTATTTTCTACCAGAACCTTACCGTTGCTCTCGTTCGTTGCTCTCGTGACGCTCTGAATTTGTGAATGAAAACAAAATAAAACACTTAAACTATAAGATTTAGGTACAAGGTGTGTTCGGGAAAGTTGTTTCTTAATGCATTCTGCAACTTTTTCTCATATGTCATATTTCAATAAAGTGACCCCAGAGGGCGCTAGAGATAAAAAACGAATAAAATAGAACAAACCTAATTACAGCTTGAACTATAAAATTTAGGTATAAGACGTGTTTGAGAAAGTTGTTCCTTGATACCTGCTGCAACTTTTTCTTTTACATTAGATTTCGGTTGGGTGTCACCAGAGGGCAGTAGAGGTGAGTTAATTAAAAAATCACCTCTTCTGCCCTCTGGTGTCACCTAACCGAAGTATGATGTGGAAAGAAAAGTTGTAACTGGTATCAGGGAACAACTTTTTTAAACACAACTTATACCTGTTTCTTGTAGTTTAAGCTTAAGTCAAGTTTTTTCAAATTTTCCTAGCTTTTTTATCTCTAACGCCATCTGGTGTCACTTTATTGAAATATGACATATTAAAAAAAGTTGCAGAATGTACTTAGGAACAACTTTCTCAAACACACCTTGTACCTAAATCTTATAGTTTAAGCTTAAATTAAGTTCTTTCACTTTTTTCATATCTAACATCAATCACGTCATGTGTGAGACATGCTTAAAATCTAAAACTCAATATTTTAGTAAATGAATACAATAAAACGTTATCTAGATACCACATTTATACTTAAACAAACAAAAAGTTTGATATTTTTTCAGAAATCATGATTGTAACTGCAATGTTTACATTTTTTTTTTAAATTAGGAATATTTTCGTTGCTCTCGTTCGCTATTTGGAGGCTTAATTATAAAAAAAAATTCCTCTGAGCATGAAAATCTAAGTATGTCACAATTTAGTACTTGGTCTTAAATTACATTTTTGAAAATATTGGCATAGATTGTTTAATAATTTTCCGAATAAATCAAACTTATTGATGTTTTCGTTGCTCCCGTGATGGTGAATTTATTAGTTCTTTTATACAGGGTTTTCTTGAGCGCAATGCAAAACAAATTGAAAAAGTGTAAATGCCATCTTAAACTATGGTATGTTTACTAAAAAGTTGCATCAAAACATTTCCAGAAAGTTGTTGTTTTAATAGAAAATTGGAATGATGCAAATTATCATCGAAATTTTATTATGCATCATATTTTTGTATTGCTGAACTTTCATGACGAAAAAAATCGACTTCAAGGGTTGTTAAAATTAATTAGTGGATACTTTTAGATACTTCCAAGTATGTTCTGCCAATAAATATTGGCGAGAGCCTTATAGAAATTAATTTAGAAATCCCCATTTTCAAATTTGTGAATTGGGATCCACCATATTAAATTTGGTTTATTGCATTATTTTAACCAATAATTAATTTCAATCATCATTATCAAAATATTAAATATAAAAATGATCACGCTAGGAGGAGACTTCGGATTTGTGATTCAGAATCATTTACGAGTCGATCTTCTTAACCACTCAAAAATCTCAGCATTAAATATTCTAGGTTTAATTGACAAATGATGTCCATAAATCAACAACAGCTCTCATCATTTAGATGTTTTTGTTGCACCACTAAAATGTTGAATGTTTTTTAAATTAAACATTCTCAAGGCTTCCTTCAAAGAAAATATAAACATATCTAAAGATGCACATCGAGCAGACCAACTCCTGCTTTTCATAATTGATGATGATGATGAAACAGTTGTTAGTTTTCCATTATTTCTAAAGTTGAGCTTTCACTTTTTTGTTAAATATAATTTCGCAGAGAACTTTTAACAAGTTCATCAACATTCCTTTTAAAGCTCAATTTTTTATATAAAATGATAAGTTTTTGGTACAATTTAATTATTTTAGGGAGAACTCAATGAACTACGCGATGAAAACTTTAATTTTTGTACTTCTCGCAATTGTCATTCCTGTTGGTGAGAAGAATTTTTTTTATTTGAAATTTAAATGTATAATTAAGATAATTATTTTCACTTCGATGCTAGGAAGATTTGCGTTCCTGTGCCGGACCCATGTGCTTCAGTAATAGCAGCTGCAAATTCCTATTTGGCGGGATGCGCGTGAAGTTATGGCAGAGCTCGAATATGTATGCATTAATTAACTAAATGCTTTGTCATTTGCAAACGAAGAGGAATTTGATGCATTTGATGTTGAATTCCACACAGCAAATCAATGCATAGAGACTTTTTTTCGATCCAAGAGGATCTTGCTGCTTCACTTGCAAGTATCACTGGATTAAGTGTTGATGAGTATTACGCGTATATCTTCACAGATTCTGGGAGAGTGGGCGATGCAGATTGCCTTACTGTGTGATAGAAGTATAATGAGCACGTTCAGCGATGTTTTAAACGGATGGGTCAACATTGTTCAATCAAAACGTCCAACCTAAAAAGCTGAAATTGAATCATCCTAATGACCTGTAGAATGATTCCAGTTTATTTAATAAAGTGAATTTTTCAGGCAATGATATTTTAGTTTATAACTTAATCAATGTTGGAAGAACTCGTGTTCTAAGCTAATACACATTATTATTAAAATAAAATAAGAAATAAATAATCTTGTGACTAAAGAACGACCTGAACTTAAATGAACTTTTGAAAAATTATTTTTTTGTCTCTTGCATTGCATATTGTCGCAAAACGCAGTAATTGATAAATTACACACAGGTTTATGTTTTATAATTAATACCAATTGTACAATCAATTGAAGTTCAATGCATGTCGAGAGTTTTATCATTTCAATTTATTATGGCAATTTATAAATATTTTTCTTATGAAAATTGAGTTTTTAGATATCTAAGAAAAACGAAAATTTTATTTCTTTTAAGAAGTATAAAAATTCGCATCTTTTGAATGTTTTTTATAACTCAATGATTAAACTGCTGTAATAATTCATACAAGCCACCTCTATAAAAGTACTGATATCAATTTAATGACATATTTACCATAAGTATTCAAGGTTGTTTAAATTACAACTCACAATTTTTGAGATTATATTTTATTCTAAATATAACTCAGAATCTAACATAACATTGACCACTTTTTGTAGCATTTGGAAAGCACAAAAACTTATTTTATTAGCCACAAAAAGTGTTTGCTTCCAGTTACTATTTTTTTCATTATTATTAGATGCATGATATGGAATGAAGAACTCACATGATAAATATGCTAAACCAAAACTTTTTGATTAATTCAGTCTGATTTTGTAGAAGAGAACAGTTTTGAGATGAGATTTCTCTGTTTTTGTATTCTGTTAACTTTTCTTGTGTTTCATGAGGTGAATTAAAGTGTGAATAAACAATTAGATGAAAAATAATACAAAAAGTTTACAGACAATTTATTGAAAATTAAATTAATTTTTGTTGCAGGTTAAAACGCATTTCTGGCATCATTCAAGACCACAAGGGGGCATTCCAGCAAACTTCCCATTCATCCCTGGACCACAAATACCTCCCTTCAATTCAAGCTTCTTCAATGTATCGACTTTTCCACCTCCCATTGATCCACGATTCGCACAACCATTTCTTCGCATAAATCGAAATCGAAATAGAAATTGAAAAGTTTTATTCGCACCATTAAGAAGACAATAAAAAAAATCCAGAAAATCTCTCAAAACATTCTACAAACAGTAAATTACTGTTTATTGACCTCAAAATTAATTATAACTTGGAACAATTGTTTTTCTTCATTCGAAATTGTTTATTTCCCTCCATCGTCACTTTCAAAACTTTATTAATTTATTTAAATGATACCACTAACAGATTGCATTCAAAATTAGTTTATAGTTATTGAAATGAAAATTGTAGAAACTTTCATAAGAAAGGAAATAAAATGTTTGTGAAAGTTTCACGACCAAATTTTTTATTTTTTTTTCTTCAGATGTTACTGAAGCTTTCTTCTTTTCATTTAAGACGTTCCATTTATTCCTTCATTTGTATTTCATTACAATGTCACTCGAAGGACTTTCAGTTATTGGTAGATATGGAGTTGTTTTACCAAATTCGACTTTACTTGTTTTAATCAAAGCTCACAACAATCATTTCCTTAAGCAATGACAACCCTTTCAGATTCCAAACATGAAATCAACAAAACATGGATTTTATTTACAATAAATGCAATCCATATACAAATTGAATTTTTTTTCGAAAGATTGAATATTTTTTGTATCAATTTCAATGATTGTGACCTTAGATTGGTCAGATAAGTTCATTGAATTTCAAATATATTTGATTTCAGTGATTTCAGTTTACTAATAATTTCAATAAGAATTTATACTCAGACCAGAACCTCAAAGAATCAAAACTATTTCAGTATTAACAAGACCTTTGAGACCTTTGAGAAAAATAAAATCCAAAAGTTTGACCATGTGCGAAAAAAATATTTAACAATGTCAAGGAAATAAAAAATGACACAAATTCACTTCCATGTTTTATTGTACAAAACTCATGCACCCTTGAGAATTTACAGTCAAAATGGATTTTATATTCACATTGACCGTATTTTCGGGTAGCATTATGTAAGCGCAAAAACAATGTCAACCACAAGAAAATGTAAGCTCTAGTAGTTTATGATATCCAACAATAAATTTTGCTTATTACATGATATGTGATAAAGAATTCACATGATAAATATGCAAACTCAAGATCTGAATCATTCAGTTTGATTTCATGAGGGCAATAAATTTACCGAGATGAAAGTCATCGTTATTTACATTCCAGCTTTCAGATGTTGTACGAGGTGAGTCAAAGTGCACGAATAGTTGACAAATAAAAATGTTGCAAGGAGAATGTTAAATAAAACATGAGAGTTCTATAAAAATATCATCAGCATTCCTTAAAGGACAAATAGAATTCTTGAAATGTTCACCTTAGAGTGATCTTGACCTAAACTTATTCAACAGCACTCAACCAACCTCTTCTAATTAATTATTATTTGAATTTGTTAAAAGGAAATAAGAGATATTTATCTCTTTATTTATCTACCTTGAGAAGAAAATGAGAACGTTTTAACTTATTTGTTCATAAAAAATTCAGCTCAATTACAAATAAAAGCTCAAAGCTCTCATAAAACATTCCGAAACTCTGTAGTAGATAATGTTTATTGGTCTCTAATTAATTATAACTTCAGGCTACTTCTTTTCTAAAGCAAAATCATTTGTTATTGTATGCTATTGAGAATAGTCAATGCTTTAATGAAAGTTTATCGGTGGCAAAACGTGACACGAAAAAAAGGAAACTTTGTGATGCCAAGAAAGATCAGAGACTGAAGCGTTAAAGTGCTAGTGGAAATCTAATTTGCTTCATTCTCTCAAGAGCAATTAAAATGTATTTTCTATGTGTTGTCTATTTATGACCTTTCTTGCTATTTTATTGAATTAATTACAATCTCTGTTGGATACAACGTAAATATAAAACTTAAGGTCGTTGAAATATATTTATAAATAATTTCCAATGACAGATAGCTCAAGACAAGAGATTAGCTTGAAAGTTAACACGTAAATTCTCTGATAAAATGTCAATCATAATAAATTCTAAAGTGTCTTTGAATTAGACTTTTAAGTATTCAACCCCTAGTTAATTTAATTATAACTTTCCTCAAGACTTCGTTTTTCTTTTGAAATTTAATAGATAAGAAAATTCTTGAGTAAAGATCCAAAAGTTTACCATTAATCTTGATGTTGTGATTCGAAAAATGATTTTAAATAAACCAAGAAAATTCTAATTTTCGTTATGTTTTCACCAAGATACTGAGAATGTTCATTAGTTATAGAGAAATACATGAGAAACACTCCTTTAATTTAATTTATTTCCAACCATCATGTTTATTAAAATTTTGATGAATTTGTTGAGAATCGTATACAGGAAACTCTCTATAAAATTCACATTTCGTTCTCTATTAATTATTATTTTTTCAAGAGAATTTTCTGTATTCTAATATCCTTTGTTTTATAATAAATGAAAAATAGTTTTGTGTCTTGCTTAGGTCACCACGAGCAAGCGAAGTCTCATTAGCAGACGAATCTTTTTGAAAAAGCTAGAAAATGTTTATGTTTCTAATATCAATCAGGATATTATTTCATCTTATCATGATCTGTGCTCGAACATTAACTCGAGTGAGTGGAATAAATAGATACATGATATGATCTAAAAGTCGAGCATGGCGTTCACCTTTCCTAACATCGTTTTATTGTATGGTGAGCTAACATTACAAAAATCAGCTTATCCTTGTCAGCTATAGATAACAAGAAAATGAGATCAAATTTAAGTCTTTGTATTGAAACATCTCCATCAACTTACGAATTTTGTTAATCAATTTAAAGGTAATGAAATCTAATTTAATGCTCGAAAGTCAAAATTTATTTCGTAATAAAAACGATTTTATTGGTTCACTGTCCATCAGAAAAATGGAATGAAAATTCAGACAAATTATTTTATCTTTGCTTTCATTGTGACAAGAAGTGTATAAATAATTTTGCTGTCAATTAAATGTTTCATTCTAGTTCATTGCACAATTCAATCTTCTCTGGAATGTGTCAATTAGGTACTAGGTTTTCCACTCAAAATACTTATGAAAATGACAAAACTAAACCAAAATAATCATGTATTTGTTTTCCTGCACTCAGGTAATTAACATTTCGCTTTCGATGAGAAATAGGACTCTAGACACGTTAAGCAAACAAAAAGTACATTTTTTATGGAAATTTATAAACAAAAACCATAACGTAATCGAAAATAATAGAAGTAAATATCATAACTATTTTAATTATTTATGACTGCTCGCTATTTAACATTAATAATGCATACAAGCTTTTGTGTAAAAAAACTATCAACTCGCGCTTCATTTGATATTCAATTTTTATGTACACAATTTAAATGATAGAACTTAGTGTTTTGTAGAAATATCAACATAAAAATCGTCATCATCATTATCAAGAGGGGAAAGAATTTGTTTTAAATTTCTAGAAAGATATTTTATTGTGAAACTATATAGACATGGGAATTGACCCAATCTTACCCTTTATTGATTGTTCTCATCATATCCGAATTACTTAAGCATGAGGAAATATTTAACATGATATCGGAAAACGAGATGAAAGTATTTTCTCTGATAAATAACACCATTTATTTTTCAAATAGGGCAAACATAAACATAAACAATTTTTCTTTTTCTTTAAAATCTTTTTCTGAATGATTTCCTTTTTCTCGTTAACATGAAATTGTCCGGAAAATCATTTCATGCAAGTGAACAAATATAATAATAAAAAAATGAATAATTTTAAGATCATCAAATTCAAATGAAATTTAATTGCTCTCAAGTGCATACTTTTAAAATAATTTTCTGTACAATGTTCAGTTGTATCTGGGGATATTTCATCAGGATTTTAATTACTGAAGTGTACATTGAAAATATTTCATTGTTGGAAAATGTACAAGAAATATTCTTCCGATCCTTTCAAAAACCAAAGAAGATGATTTCATTAACAACATTGAAATATGTTTCATGCTTTCAGAATTTCCCAAAAAGAGAGAGGAAAATGAGAAAAGCTTTCGTGAGAGTTTTCGAAAATTCGAAATCGGAGAGGGTGAGAGAGAAAATTATTTTCTTGTAGATATTTCAATACTTTTCCCAAGACTTTTCCTGACTTTTCCCTTCACATGTTTTCCTCTCTTACAAATGCTTTCGACATTGCAGAGAAATTACAAATTAAACTCGAACGTTGTTCAGTCTACTTTTACTGGCGGTCGAATGTGGGAAATGTTCTCGAGTCGGTCGCGTTAAATTCAATCAGCAACAGTAAATATCAAAGTCCATTATTCTTGGGATTAATTAGTGAAAGCGAATTGTCATTCTTTAGGAAGTTTAAGAACGAAAGAAAATAAATTTTCATTAGTCATTTCAAGTATTTCCTTCGTTCTTTAAATCTATGCAAATCAAGTGTAGTGATAATAGAACAACACACTACTAATAATAATTCTCGAATCAATACATCCGCGAATGACATAGATATGTGAAAAATCATCAACAATTTTGTTTTTTTTTGAATAATTCACTTGACATAATCAAATATTCATGAGGTAAGCACATTTTGACTATTTCATGCCATCGTCACGCATTACATTTTAACGTTCTTTTCAAAGCGAGAAATTATTTAAAAACTATCATGATGACAGCGATGATGAAATCAATTAAATAAATTTGAAATTTTAAGTACAAATTAAAAGTTTCAGTTTATTATTTCTGTCAACTCGCTTAATTCATTAAAAGTTTTTTGATTATATGACATAGCCTTTCTATGTCGTTATGCATTTATATAATAATAAAATATTCTATTCAACATAGCTTATGAAAAGAGATAAAAACGCTTACAGAAATGCATTACAGAAAATAAGGAAATAAATTTAGAATTGAAATTAAATGAAAATTGCCATAATTCAGATAAAATTCAGGCAATTGTCGACTAACGTTTGCAATATTGTCACAGAAATCCGTGATAAAAATAGCATTTGGAGTGAGCATAAAGTAAAGCAGGTTCATTGAAGATTCATGAGAATCTTGATGTAATAATCAATGGAATTCTTATGATGCTATTGGGGCTCGAAAGTTTTTCCCACTCTATGAAAGATTGAATAAGCACAGTCGGATTATTGATCGGAAATTGAACTTAACTTTGTAGCTTGTCTATGCTTCAAGCAACAAACTTTGCATGTAAGAAACGTTTTTGGTTTTATTCGCTTTAAAAAAAAGGAAGGAATGAAAATTTCCTAATAAAAATAATAAAACTCGAGGGTTCCTTATATTATGCGGAAAATCTTGTGGTTTCAACTTTGAAATTTTCTGTTTGTTGTGGAAAAGGAACGCTTACTGATACAGTTTTTTTAATATTTCACGTTGCTCCAAAATCATCAAAAAGAAATGTTTGGTTGAAAATGTCTTGAGGTCTTTTTACCGGAGAATTAATAAATAATCAGAATAATTTTTCTTCTTTTATCTTTCATTTTAAAGCTCTTTAAAATCTTCTATCTAAGTTTCTGATCTCGGCATTCATTTTATTTAACGAAACATATTTTTTCCTATGTTAATTTTCTGATTCTGTTCAAGACATGAATAATCTTCTTTACTTGTTAATTATGGCAAAACCGAAACATCTTCAGGCCTTAATCAAAAACATTTCCTACATTGATAACAGAAGAGAAAAAAATCACAAATCAGTTTACGAACGATAATGTCTATCTAATTATCTTAGAGCACGTTGGCATTTGAAAGAATGAGACAGAAATATTATTAGAATAATTTTTTTATGAAGACGATGGTTAAAATGCAATGTTAGAAATGGCTTCTTTACATCGGAGCTGTGAAACATGAGTGACAGTCGTGGCAACCTTTTAAAGGAAGGAAGGTTCGCTTCTTTACACAACAATATTTAACAGTAAAATGATGAATTAATTAACACCCTCGAGCGCAAATTGAGAGCGTCTCTAAGTAAACAGATTTGAGGAAAACAAGATTATTCTCCTAACAACTCTATCTTGAGAAAGCTTTGTTGTTGTTTAAACTTCTTTTTTGTTGTCTAAAATATAAATGAGAAAAATGTGCATACAAGAGTTGTGTAAATAAAAGACTTGAATTTCTTGGGAATTGTTATCACATTAGAGAGCTTCTTTGAAACGCCTCATTTTACATTATTTAGAGCCTCTCTTTACATCCAAATTTCCTTCACTTCTGCTGTTTTTTCCCACAATATAAAAAGAAGGCAAAACAATTTAAAATATTGAACACGTGTTCAAGTTAATTTCATCTTTAATTCAAACCTGAATATTTAACTTTGTAGAAACCCGAATCAATCGAAAATATTTTGACTTGATGTGTCTGAAATATTTTGTTTAACGTGTACATTAATCAACTGTTTTGACCGAACAGATTTTTGTTGCGGGTAACAAATTAATGTGTTTGGTATTTCCATTGTTTATAAAAATAAAATCACAGCTTTCATCGACGGAAAAAATCTCTCGGTATTTGATTTAAAAAGTAACATTAATATTATCGAAACATCATTCAGATTTAAACTTTTAATCAACTTATTTATGTAGGTCAGAGATGAATTGTCATGATTCAATTTACCTGATTTGAAAGAGTGACATTGCAAATATTATTATTAAATATGTTGTTGATATGATATTCAGGGAATATTCTAATTTATTATCGCAAAAGGAATGTCATGCTTGATGGCATGCACATTAAACATTAAGAAGGAATAAAACTTTCTAAATTATATAAAGCCATAAAAGTTTAACTCCGTGTGCAATACCTTCGTTTGTTTTTTGTTGTAATCCAAGCAAGAAATTTAAATACAATTTTATATCGTTTTTAAGAACTTTCCATGTATTTCCACGATATGCTTCCACAATATCAAAGATAATTAAAGTTACAACAAACAAATCGTAAATCATAGAATTCATCGTTACATGATATTTAATAGATTGAAATCGAGACAATGATTTATCTTGAAATATTTATTCACTCATGTGTTGAGACAGAAGAGATGGAAATGCAATCATGCTGCAAACAGATTTGAAGTTCCGGATTTTCGTTATGGTTTCGTCTTTTCTGTCATGAACAATTTTTCCAATCAACAGAACAAAAAATGTTATGGAAGTATAGTAAAAGTATGTCATGATTGCCATCTAGGGGAAGCAACATTTCATGTCTTTTGTCATTCTAAATCAACAATAAAATCGATAATGCTTTGAGTGAACTACCTATCCTGGATTAAAAATAGACAAGAAATTTTATCTCTTACGATTTGATGACACTGTCAACGACCAGATGCGATATGAATTCTTTTTTTTCTTGTGTATATTTTTTTAAATAATTAAGAAAAACGTCTTCGTTAGTTGTCAATAGAAATATTGAGCTATAAAAGTGCTGTTGACATTCTGAATAAATCAATCAATATGAACTTGGCATTAATAAAAGAAAATCGTGAAACATTCACGACTGAGTAGCAACAAGAATTTCTTTCAACAACAAAAGCGTAACCCAAGTGCTAAGTGACAAGATTTAGCTTTTATTGTCAGATTCCACACTAGAAAGCAAACTGAAACAAGAGCACCCAATCGATGGTATTAATTATTTATTCGAAGAAAGTTTATTTTATTCTTTCTCGACTGAAACTTATTGATTTTGTACCTCAGAGAAGCGATTTTGACATGAAATGATTTGCATCACCATCAGTCATTAACAGAAACGGAAATTTATCTTGAACCAATTGAGACTTTCCTACCTTGTGAAATTATAAATAAATTGTTGACTTTTTTTGTTTTGTCTGTTACAGAATTTTATACCGCATACTGGCTAGTGATGTAATAAACAGGCACGAGAATAAATATGAATAAAGGCCATTGAAGAATTGAATTGTGGGAATTAATACGCGCGTCAAACTCCCTCAAGTGAAACATAAAACAAATCAAATAATTGCTTCTTCGTCAACAATAGCAGAAATAAACAAGGAAAAGAAGCTGACGGTTTAAAAATAATCATCTCGTGGATATAATAAAAGAAAATATCGATCGACTTCTTGCATATCTGTAAACACAAAATTTTGATAAAACAAAATCTTAATGAGACATTCAAATTGTGATATGAAACCATTTTAGTGAAATATGAATCTCTAAAATTAATACGTAGCAATTATATAAACGTAGTGCTTTTAAGACTAGAAATCCATTAGTTGATGACAACGTTCTTGTGTTTACTTTTCGTGTTTGCGTGGATTTAAAAGCGAATTGTTTATAAAAAAAAAGTGAAAAAAAAGAAATTAAATAAATTATCAGAAGCTATGCGGCATATTGCGTTTATGATCCAGCTAGTTAGATTACTGTGATTATTGCGAAATTTACGTTGGATTATAAGGAAAAGAAAGTGTTTCATTAAAACGCCTCAGCATGATCTGAAATAACGAGTGAAATTGTGTAAAAAGTGGAATTTTAAATTAAAAACTTTTCTCTCGTAACTTAAAATAGAGAGAAAATTGGAAAATTTCCATCGATAAAATTTTCTATTGAACAAATGATATGACACAAATAGAAAAACTCCAAACTCGAAAGGTGAAACGAAACAAATGAAAAAAGTTGTAACGAGTTTTAATGACAGGTATCGATCAGATCGAAGGTGGAATAATTGAAACAAATGTTGCCTGTGGATTATACGGACGACAGCATCAGATAAAAAAGACTTCCGTGCGAGGGCATTTCTCATGAACATGCTATTTTTTCTCACTTTCTTGGCGATTCATGCTGGATTTGCTGGTAAGATATTTCAGCTTTAAATGTTTACCTGAGGAATTCTAGATTTCCATCATCTGCTCAAAGGCTATAAAATTCACCGAACTTCTATTTTCTCTATCTTTATGCATATCCCAAATGTCTTAATCAAGCGAAATATTGAGAAATTACTTGCCATTTCCGCCCACGCATAAACATTTCTACAACAATTCTCTTGTGTCTTTAAGTAGGTATTGCCTTTTGTCTTTAAGCAAAAATTCTCATGGCGTCTGAAACTGAACCAAAAGTTTGTTAGGGAAAATCTTTAACAATAAATGAAGAAATTAATCCTCGGTTCACTAAGCTCACATCATTCTTTTTCTCTTCCATCCTCCCATTATTCTTCATAAACTGTTTCAAAGTTAATTTTCTTCAAGATGATGAAAAAAGAATTAGAAACCTTAATAGGTTTATAGCATCCAATGGCTGATCTCTTTAAATTCTTTTCACCGATTGATGCCAACATTAGTTGTAACACAATGCGGAGAAATTGACTAAATTATTCATTGCTTCGTTAATAATTGATTTCAATAATCGATTTTTACGCTGGTTCTTTGAGATATTTCGAAACAGACTTGTAATTAGTAAGGTTGAAAAGCTTTCACGTCCATCAAATGCCTAACTCGATTCTTTTCGAATAGAACGTTTTATGTTTTATGGTGGTGGAATGACGATGATGATGATGACGACGATGATATAAAATTTATTCGCTATCTTTTATTCTAATGCTTAAGGAATTAAGTGATAACGACAGCCACTGACGAGCGTAATATGTGTTATTGATAATCTGCTATGATTTTGTTTTCACAGCTCCATAAGCCTCTTACTGCCACTGATTGGATAATAACGAATTCATCTTGCTTTCCTATACATATTAGTATATGTTTCAGTTAATCTACCAGAAAATTCATAAAAAACAAAGAAAAAATTTGACGTCTCATTCAAAGATACAAAAGTGTTTCATTTCTTTTATTCCATTACGTCAAAAACATCTTAAATCCATATAGAAAAGATTGAGCCCATGGGAGAAACATTTCCATTCCATTCTTTTGCCTAATCGCTACTTCAATCTTTTCGTAAATCCGGCATTAAGTGGAAGAATACAAAGAAACATATTTTTCATCTTAAATTTAGAATCTTTTTCACGTGTAGCAAATTTCTTTGCTTTAAAGCTTTCGCGATATAAAAGCTTTGATCTTGTAAACACTCAACTTAATCTTATTAAATTTTTTATATTTTTTTCAGGTTCGATACCTTCCGCACCAGGTAAGGAGGAAAAATTTTCAAATAATTAACAGACAACTTAAAGTCTTTTATTTCTTTCAGAAAACATCACTGTGACATTCATTAATCCAACATCGGTGCGTGTAAGTTGGCAACAGCCAATGGACATCGCATATCCAATCGAAAAGTTCGATGTCACTTACAAGCCTACTGACGCAAGGTAAAAATTTGCTTTTTTCTAATAATTTCATTCATTTACTCATTCACATTATGAGATCGATATTATAGTTGAAGAATTATGTCACGATATTAACTATTTAATATCAATTGAGAGCTGATTCATCTTTATAGTTGATATCAGGGAAAGAATTTTAGATTGTTGATCAATATTCAATTAAGTCAAATTAAGATATTAATATCTAATTTTAAACATTCTGGATGTCTTTGGAATAGCGTGTTTATGAATTGAGTAAGGGAGCCGAGAAACTGAAATTTGTATGATTGTCACATGTTCAATTACATATTCAGGGAAACGAGAAAGCAGTCCAATGACTGATTTTAAATCTACACAGAAAGTTTGGTGTCTCGGAGGAACTCTATGGATATGATGAAAAATCATGCTTGACCTATCATGTCCTTTAAAAAACCTTTGAGAAATGTCAACATATCCATCTGTTGTTTCTCACACCTTTAAATAATTTCTTATAAAGTCAACATTTTACCAAAAACCTTTCTACTTATCAACATAAGGGAAATTGCCGACAGATTTCATTTATTTCTCATTTATTATGCTTCGAGCAGTGTCAAGGTGAACATGAAATATTTAAAACACATTTGGAGAAGTTTTACAAGCATTTCATTGATCTTTCAAACGTTTTATTTTTTTATTCTTTCATTTTCATTACACTATTAATGAAAAAAGTTTTAATTCACTTGAAAGCTTTCTTCGTCTTCTTTTTTGTCAGTTTTTCATGAAGGCAAAAAAATGAGAGAAAATTTTATTTTTGACTTTTACCATACATAATATGATAGAAAACGCTCACTTTAATAAAATTGAATGTATAATTTAACATCTGGGAGTACGGCTCGCATCAACTGATTAGCATGACAACATTTCAATTTCATTTTACTTCAGGGACCGAGAACCAGACAATGAACTGTAATAAATGTCAACGTTCCTCCTACGACAAATATTTAATGTTTGGTCTCAACATGTCGATTTCTTTTTATTCCTAATTACAATTTCAATTGTAGTTGTCATTAAACTTTTAGCAGAAGAAGACAAAGAAATATAATGAGTATTTACATTTCGTATTCTTCATTTCAAATAAATAGAAAACTTATCAAAAAGAGAGAACTCTCGAAATCATGACAGGAAAAGTTAATTAATCAAAGAAGCTTTTGTTTTTCAAACATGAACAGAGAGCTTCAGAAATCTCGGAAAGTAAATGTTTGACTTGATTAAATAAAAAGTGTTGCAAACTTGTGCAGAAATGAGTAAACATCATGCAGTTGAGTTGACTCAAGTAGGAGTTCAAACAAATTGTTTTCAACACGTAAATTTTATTTTAGCCTCACCTTGCCTACTTACAACTTCTATAATCAACGTCAATTTATGTTTTATTTATTCTGTCGACATTACACAAACTACCCACATTATGTAGGGTTTCCCTTGATTGATATCAGCGATATTTATCATTGTTATAAATATATGTACAAAGAACACTCCATAAAAGAAATCTCTATAATTTAAATTTTCTATTTACCTCAGCTTATCTTATTTTATGTGTCTTAAGCTCCAGAATAATATCTCATCATTTAATTCATTAAAATATTTTATTTCAGTCAGGTTTTTAATTATAAATTGAATTCATGTTAGCCCTTCTCAATCTACGATTACCTTTTAAATCCACTAAAATATTGAAACGACGTGACATGATGAAATCTTCTAAAAACTCAAAATATGATATCATCCATTCCAGGATGTGAACAAAAGCAACAAGGCTTTTTAAATAATGCGGAAGGAAGAAGAAAATTAATTGAGACATTCCCTTCGACAATAAATTTTTCTCTGAAGCTTTACGACTATGTATTCTCATTGAGCTTTAGTATTATACATAAATATCTATGAACTGTAGATGTGAAGTAGAAAAAAAAACAAGAAGCTCATTGTTTTCTTTTTGCTTTGTCTCATGTTAAAGCGACATATATAATTTAGAGTGAATAAGAGAATTTTCTTGTGATCCTTATGAAAATGTTAATAGAGAAGATAGCACAAAAAAAGTAATGCAGAAACATAAAATTATCTCTCTTCCTTGATATTGTGAACAAGTGGAGCAAAAAAGGGAAAAAAGAATGGAAACACTTATGAAATCATTTCATGGGAGTATAGAATAGTTCTCTTGAAAGTGATTCTAAATTTAACGTCAATCTCTATCCATATCGTGTGTTAATAACACAAAAACTCATCAGATCCTCTTTGTCTTTAATGACACGACTCTTTTTTTCTATCTTTCGTTCAACTAATATAACATGATATGTTGCAGATTATTAAAGCATTCATGTTACGAGGTTACGTGACTTGCTTTTTGTCATGAACACTGAGATTGCATTCGCTGCAATATTTTTCCTTCATTTAACGCAGCTTGACAAAGCAGTGTCATCGATTTTTATAACCGAATGCAATAATCTATTTCAGTGGAAAGGAAGCTTAAGAGTGAATATGTGGTGTTGCAAATTTATTGAATAAGGTTTCAACATTAAATGTTTGATGATGACATGAAACATACCACACATTCAAGTTGGAAGTTATCTTGCCTATAATTACAATCATCAACTTTAGAGAGTTCGGATAATGTTTGGTTGCATAAATTTGTAGAATGATTTTATGATTGGAATATTTTGTTAATTATTGAGTGAACTTAAAGTCGGATTAAATTAACTTAACATTTTCATTTATAAAAAGCTTTTTTTCTTCTTCATCATTCTAATGTAACTTTGTTTTACACATGTATACAAACACGTACTAGACTCATCCCCATAAAATACAAAATTTTGATTATGTAAGAGCTTTTTAATTCCCTTTGGTTATGAATGTAAGACGTTGGAACGGTGACGAACGAGAAATCGCTTCATTTTAATTGGTTCTTCCTTTTTACTTCTACTAAATAATACGATGAAGTTAGTAATACTGACATATCAAGGTTCTGTTTGTCTCTATCGTCAGACTGACGAATGCTTTAATCCTACCTCATCTTTATAGCACACACGAAACATTTAACTTAGGAAAGTAATCATGCATGTGGAAGTCGAAGCACTTCGTTATTTTTTCAGTTTTCCAGTAATCATTCAACTGTAGTTTGAGACAGACATACTGTTGAGAAAGCTCGAAATTAAAAGGAAATCCTTAGATTAAGTGAAGATTATAAAAGCTTTTAAAATAATTTTGCCGTGAAGATTAAATTGGAAATGAAATCATTCAATAATTTATTAAATTAATTTTTCGTGAATATTTTGAGTGCTTTTCGGAAGAAATTTAAACCAGAAAGAAATCGTAGAATATTTCGTGACAATATCAAGTTCATTGCATAAGGTGAGATACGACGAGACTTGGGAAAGAAAAAACCCTTAAAAGTTTTTATTGAACCAAGCAAAGTAAAGAAAAGAAAGAGGAAAACTTTTTCTTGAATGCTTGAATCAGAAGCGAAATGGTTAAGAAAAAAAAAAACTTTTGCCGTCTGAACAATTCCTTGTGATTACATTTCGAATATTTCCCTTGCCATTGTAAGACGAGATACCCAAAAAAGTAAAATAAAATAAAATAATGTTGAAGTAAATTTATGTAAGCAGGAAAAAAAGAGAGAAAAAATCTTTGTTTGATTTCTTACGAAAAGAATTTTCCACTTAAATTATTTGGAACAATGTGTGGGAATCTGAGAAGCGTAAACTGGCAGGAAATACGTGAAAAAATTGAATCATCGGTGAATTCTAACGAAATAAAAAAAAGAAAAAAATCAATAAAATACTAAATTATTCATGAGATTTGAAATGAAAATTTAAGCTCCAATTTCCAAGTTACGAAAAAATAATAACAAAGAAATTTTCCTTTTCGAAAAGTTCTTCCAAATCGATTATCTGTGATGATTCATATGAAAGGTTTCTAAATAAATTTTTCATTGAACATAATTCCGGATGAGAAAATTTGAAAAAAATTGTTCATTAGATTGAAAGTTTTATAAGTCACTGAAGCGTTTATTTTTGAACTTTTACGAAAACAACCACAGCATAGTCTCATTCATATCGTAATGTTAACGATGAGCTTTAAATTATTTAAAATATCAAGTCACATGATGTATAAATTGTTATTTTATTTAGGTAATGGGACAGCGTCAACCTTCTCCAACTAACTTTTAAACATTACCATGCAAATCAGTTTATGTCAAGATTTTATCATCGTAGTGAGGGTTTTTTATTGCTTCATGATGTGATGACTTTGCTTACTAAATTCATAACATATTTAACATTGTCAAATTCTTCCTACTTATAACATCAAAGGACATGTTGAAGATTATCAGCGATATTTCATTTAAATTGTTTAAAGCTCCGTTAACAGTTTATTCAACAAATTTAGAGATTAAGCTTTAATTTACTGACTTTGGTTGTCCGAATGCCATTCACAGATTATCTTGTACTCTCGTATTTACATTGTTTCTCATTCAGAAGCTCTTCCTTGTCTTTACTTTGAATGCTCAAAAATACGAATAATGTTACGACCATTCCATTATCACAGCGTTTTCTGTCTTTATTATTCGAGCTCGATAAAAATGTGAAGAGAAAAATTGTTTTCTTAAGTATAGCAGATTCGATAAACATTAATACGTGACAATCGATCTTACTTTCTTATGGCTTGAGACGAAGAATAATCGAACAGTAAATATTTATATGCTTTCATTAAATTTCATTCAGTTTTTGTCACTTTCAATCTGGTAACGTATATGATGCGTAGGAGAACAGAAAGTCAAGCGGTGCATGCCAATGTCATTTTAGACATTTTTTCTTCTCTTTTGGAGTTTCTGTTGACACAAGCCTGATGTGAGTGGAAGAAACCTGAAGCGTAATTGAACTTTCGTGGGAACATGGAAGGGAGAGAATGAAACGTTTCCATCATTTGATGTCCTTGAATCATCTTAGTGCCATGGGCATTTGTCACGTCGTTCGTTGGAGATTTTTATGACAATTGAGTAGAAAAGAAGTCTCTTATGTGTCATCGTCATAACAAGTTTTCCATCATTGTTTGAAGATAATTAGCACATCACAGATAACAAACACTGCGAAACATTATTGATGATTATGCTTTAAGACGTTTTTTTTGTAAAAGAGAGATTGAAATTGGAGTAATTTTTCACCATTTCTGTTTTTCGCTGCTATGGCGTTCCATTTATTTATAAAAGTTCAAATCAATTGACAAGCACACCACCCAAACGATTTACAACATTAATTAATTGCTGCTTAATTACCAATTAATGTAGACGACTAAAAAGCGTCTTCATTTAATTTGACACAAAATGTTTTTGAGCATAAAATTATAATGAAAAGCTTGAACATCAAACTTTATCGTCCTCTCTTGCCTTGAGCATAATCTCTGCCTTGTCGGTTATTAAATAAATCAATGAAACATTCCAATCTTAAATGAAAACTTCTGCCTGTTGAAATAGGAATGCAAATTTCATCATCATCAGAAATGGGTAGAACGAACTGATGCAAATTTCAATTTCTTGTCTATCTTAAATGAAAATAAATGATGGAAGCAAATTTGCATTATAATCAAGCAGAAAAACTCTTCATGGCGAAACGAAGAGCTTTGAGAATATATTTTAAGTCATTAAAACTTTTATTCATCTTCAAGCTATCTGCTAACGAATGCAGAATGCCTCAAAAACATCAGTTAAAAGCAGTACGAAGAGGAGAAGCTTTTCTTAGAAATTTTTATTCATTCCAACAAATTGTGCGGTTTGAAATACGGAAACAAGAATGAATCGTAAAGAAATGCTTTCACATGTTGTGTCACGTGTCTCGTCATATTCCACTTAAATGCATGTCGGATAACAATTTTTCTTCAACAAAATAAACACAAAACATTTCAATAAACAAATTGAACGAAAAATATTCCAGTTGCCTGTGAAAATCATCATGTTCAGCAGTTACATTGAACTTTATGCCCTGAAAACTTTTATGACTTCCCTTACTCATTCATCGGAAACAAGCAACTTTGCTTTTAATTAAAACTATGCTTCATATAACTTATTTGATACTCCAAGCGACTCTCCTTCTCTTGATTCTATCATTCCAATGATTTTATGACTTGTTAAGGAAACTTGCTTAAAGTTCGGTTGCTAAAATTTTAATATAATAAACTTTGACTTATTTGTTTATGGTTTGGAAAGTTTAAAATTTGAAGAGAGTTTGTGACTGAGTCACGGTATAAACCCTTTCATGCATTCTTGATCTCATTTTCTATCTGCATTAATGATTTTTTTATGTAGAGTTCCGCATAGAAACATAATTGAATGAATTCAAGTTACAGGGTCGTTGCTGTTGTCGCTGGAAATAGTGAAGCCGTGGTGCTTGGCGGACTTATCCCCGATACTCAATATCAGTTGACTGTTGCTGCTATTTGGAGTGGACGCAAATATAGAAGCCGTGCAATTGTATTTCGCACATTAGGTGAGGAAGAAGGTGAGCCGCTTGTCGCTTGTCGACATGCCGATTTACTGTCCTCTATTTAAATTCGATCAACTCTTTAGCAATGTCATAACATTTACAGAATCGCCACGAACATCTCCACAACAGGACTTTCCAATGGAAGGCGTGAACGGACCACCACTGCCACCCTACACAAATCCACATTACAAAGAGGCCAATCATTCAACTAACTCAACCACACGAGCACTTCCAACGGTAAGTTTCAATTTATCGATTGGGAATTAGATATTTAACGTTTCTTCACATACATAAATAAATATAGAAGTTGCGTGAATAAAATCGACTGAGATTTATTTTTAATATTTATCGGAATGATGAAGTTTTAGTTGTTCAATGTTACTGCAAACCAGGGCTTGGAATAAAATTTCGTAAACCCTGAAAATTTCTTTAATTATGTTTCCCATTTCCTAACAAGATTTCTAATCCAGGATCCCTGAGTAAGGCATTTCCCAATATTTATGAACGTATAAATAAACATTAATGATGAATCTTTAAGCTAAACTATTCACTGTTCACTTGCTATGATAAACATGCACAGTGCATGAGTTTAATTAAAACAGCAAACTTATTTATAATCCATCACGAATCCCCATGATACTTCAATATAAATCAAAGACAAAGAAAAAGAAATCTTTCTCTGTTCTATTTCTAGATACGTGGCGTCGAAATCGGAATTGTAGTTTTAGTGCTGATGGTGTGGGCTGGTGCAATCGGTCTATTCTTTAATCGTTGGGGAAAGATTCGAATGCTTTTACCATATCAACCTGATTACAAACAAGATCAGCTTAAGGTGCCTGGTACCGGCGTGTGTGCTACGGGTGCTTGCAATGGACAGCATTCGCATCAGGTAACCCCGTTGATGGTAATGAAAAATTCTCAATTTTATTTCTTCTCTTATCAATTATTTTGCTTTTCAATTATTGCAACATCAACTATAATAACAACAACAACAATATTTATATAAATCGTCATCGATCGAAGCGTGAAACGCGATTAATTCAAATAAATAATAAGAAAACAGAAATATTTCTTTATCCTTCGATTTTTGTTTGACTATTTGAAGAGGTTCCTCACGTATTGTTGATTCAATTATTTATTGACCCAATTTTATTTCTGCTCCTTCTAATTCAATTGCGTGTTATTTTTATCCTTACGTCTAATCCTTGGACAGTGGAATATGAAATGTAGTTCGTAATGTCTTCATATGCATCAATGTTAAATAAAGTGAAATTTGCTTCTTTGTTGTGTCGCTTGCTTACGACCTACGTTAAAATATTATTTGATGTAAAAATGCTCAAAGCGTATTGTATCGTAGACATACAAAGATATTTTTATTCGATAGTAAACACAATGAATTGTCATTCATTTCATGTCAGTCTTTAGATCCTACAAATGCCATCATTCAGCTTTCACAAAAAAAAAAGAGAAGGGAAAACAATTGTAGTGAACAGCTATCGTAAAATATATTTTTTATTGATTTGAAAATGACTGGGAAAACCTTTTTTCTTCAACAATGTAACGCATTGAAAATGACTGGGAAAACCTTTTTTCTTCAACAATGTAACGCATTGAATACATTTGAAACAACAGAAAAAAATCCAGAAATATATCTAATTAATTGTAAAGAAGCAAGAATTTATCACATGTGCGGTAAAAATGCAAAACGTTAGCTATTTACACGAAATTTATTCTTTGAAGACAATCGACAAAACAAATGTTTACTTCAAATTGCAATTGCTTGTTTTTGACTATATTTAACTTTTTTTATTTATTTATTTTCCTTTCTTTGTCCGGGGGTTATATCCTTCAATAAATAAACATTAAGTTTCAAGAGGCTCTCAACAAGAAGCTTTAGACCTTCATAAAATATTCAAGTTTCAAAGCGTAGACTTGAACATCAAAAATGTCACAAACAGCCTTTCAAATATTTGCACAATGAACACTCAATCTCAATACGATTTGGGATTAATTTGATAGTTGCGAATGTTCTCTCTAAGAAGGATAAAAAGGTTTTATTACATTTTTTATTACTTTTTCTTGCAAGTGAATTTAAGAGAGAAATCAATTAAATTAAGTAATTGCATCCTTCTTTTGATCATCACTTAGTTGAAGCTTTTTTATGATGATGAAGCTTTGATAAAGAACGAAGTCAATGAAATTGTTTAATGAAACGAAATCCAAGAAAAAAAATTAACTTATAATAATTGTATTTTTACATAAATTTACTTCAATCTTTTCGCAAGCTTTTTATGAATTTACTTCAATTATTCATGCATCAAACTTTTCTTTTTCTTTCGAATGTAATTTCTCTCATTAATAATTTATTTTTCAATTTTGGATTCTTTCGAATGCTGGCGTAAACCAGCGAAGCAGATCATGAGGCTGGCAGAGATCATTTTCTATGTAAAATGTTTTTGGATATTTACTGCTGAGCCTTCGTCGAATTACTTTTTCTTTTAAATAAGACTGATGAGAATTTGTTTATTTAAGAGAAAGAATTTCTGTTTTGCTTGTCTGCCACTGTCGATAAAATTTCAGCATTTCACTTGAAGAGTGAACAGGCAAATTTATTTATTTTAGCTGATTATCTGATTTGATTGCTCATAATGTATGTTGAAAATACATAAAACATATATTTATGGATGATGAGAATTTATTCCCATGTTTGTCTTTCAAAGTAATGGAAAAAAAATTTTCGTCTCATCCTCGTCGTTTCCGTTTAATTCGTTCTCATACACACACATACACAAATAGATATTTTAATTCCACCCGTCGTCATCGCATTTAATGACTCCCTGAATTAAAAAGAAATATTCAATGCTTTTGGAAATAAAACTCACAATAATGTATGCGAATGCGTCATGTGTGTTGAAGTAAGGTCGTTACGAACAGCTGACATTCTAATCAACTAGATATGTATCTTAAATCCCTTAAAAAAGCCCACCTTGGAAAACATTTAAAAGTTAGCAGAGTGCAAAATGTCAATCGTCTAAATTTCTCTAATTATCTAAATGTTTTTGTTTTTCATAATTAACGCTTTCGTTCTTTTTTTCTCTCATTAATTTTTTTTATTTTACTTTTCTGCTTGAAATTAATCATCGGAATTTTTATATGAAATAAAAAACAAACTTTTCGACAACATACTCAATCAGTGTTTGCCAAGATGCGAGGGTTGTGGTCTATTAGACCGTTGCTTTCATTGTCCTCAACGATCTAGAGATTCAAGAGATTGTGGTTGTCAGTTTGCGCTTCTTCATCGTGCCGATACTGAAAGTGGAAGTTAGCATCAAGATCATCAACAGGATAATAATTCAACTACACACAAACATTACACACAACGACAAAAACGTTTACTATTCGCTAGCAGTGGACAACAAAGTTCCAGTGTTGGCTACAAAACCAGTCGAAGCACACGAAGTCGATCAGATCATGAAGATATTGAATATTGTGTAAGTGTTTAAACCGAAAGCAGAAACTTTTCTTTCTGATCCCAACTTGTCGAGACACCTTAAGACTGATTTTGTAAAAATAATTCACCTTGACAAGCTTCCATCAAAATCAATATCAAACTTAACAAATTTGTTTTCTCTGTAAAGATTTATGAGAATTGAGATGAAATGTGCTGCTGCCAACACACAAAAGACGTTTAATTTCAAAAGTATGGCAGATTTTAACGTAAGTTGAAAATTGTAAGATTTGTGGTTTGCAAATTTTCCATAAATTTTTGAAAAAAAGTCATTGAAAGTTTTCCTTCAATTGTATCAACATATTTAAATCTGAACTCATGTGTTTTTTTTGCGTTGATAGCAGCACATTTGCCATCTAAGAGTTGTTTTTCTATGTAAATAAATAGTTGACATTTATTCGTATGTTTGATTGATTAGTTGACAATCTAGTGAAAGTCATCAGTAGAAATCATCACACGAACACAAGAAATCAAAAAAAGAATTTTTTTTTCATTTAAAACATTTCATCAGTGAATATTAGTATATTGATTTATGTTTATTGTTCAGTAAATTCGATTGAAGTTCTCGTTTGACTAGTTTTCCCTTCATGTAAACCATGTCGAGTTAAGCCACTGAGTCACCCTTTTAAGCATCGAACCATGTATAATAATAAAAAATATATTTCTGTTATTTCTGTCTGACCTTTTCCTATCACCCACATGATCATATGATTAACAGCCATTAAATATCAAAAGCTATGTTACTACATTTGTTATGCATCGACAGATGATAACGAGTTTGTTAAAGTGGCCAAGCCCTTAGTGATAAAAGTTATAGATTTTTCAGGTCAGCCTTGTGTGTAGGAAAGTTTTATTTATGACAGAAATTAATGAACATGTCTGACTAAATTTCTTTTTTTAAGCATAGGTCGTCTAGTAATTGGCTCTACATAAATTAATTGAAGCGTGAAAAGGATTCAGGAGTCTTGTTACTGCATAAAAACAATCTGCTAAATTTTGTTTTCTGTCTTTTTATTCCTTTAATCTGCTTGAACTCGAATAGAATAACAGGTCAATAAATCTTAAAGGTCTCAACCTTTTCACTTCATTCCCATCTAATTTATCAATACCTTTCTCGCTTCAGAATAAATAATTTCGAAATGAACATAAAATCATTTGAGATGAGGTCAAGTGGAAATATTTATCATGGAAAAAAGAATTGCAAATGAATTCGAGTTGTTTACAAGAATGTAGAAAGTTTCTTTATCTCAAATCAAAGACTGAAATATTTATTTCTTTTCATGGATATTTCGACTCGTTCTCACACAGAAACTTTTTTCCGTTGATTTTATCAATTAAAATTTCATGTAGAAATTTCATTAGAAGAGAAATAAAATTTTAAAAGGATTTCAACATTTAATGTTGGAATTAAATTTTCTTTTTAAATATTTATTTAGAACCCTTGAAATGTTGAGTTTTTATTACCTTTCTACTTAGATAACTCAATGAACACTTTCAAAAAATGTTGTTAATGTCTCTTGAACTTTCTTTCTTACATACATCTTCAATTTAAATTAAAAATTATTTTGATTCTTGCTTTTTATGTAATTTTACTTTCAACACATTTTGCACTCTTGTTGATCTAACATTAAAATGTTTAAAAAACTTTTTTTTGCAACAAAATTCATAAAACAAAAGAAAGAAAAAAAACAATAAAATAAATTAAAATTACCGCAATAAAACATGGTGAAGAAAATAAAAAAATCACTTCTAATTGTAAATTATAGCAATAATTTTGCACTTGAGGATTGTTAAACACCAAAAACTGTTGAAGCATTAATATGTGAGAATCGAGTTCTTTTTTTGATCGCAATGGCACACCAATAATTCATCTTCGTTTGATCACTTAAGTCCTTTATAGATTACAAATCTGGCACAAGTTTCAAATGCACTTATTTGTCTCATTCCAAAACTTTTTTTGAAATCTGGAAAATGAAAAAGAATTCTTGCTTTAAGCTCATCAGTGACAAATTTTCATGCCATAAAAACAAAAGTGTGCATAATTTATCATATGAAAAAAGTTTTTTTTCTAGAAATGTTGCAAAGCGACTCCCAGTGAAAGCTCCCTTGAGTTCTTAGTGTGGCGTGTTGAGCAACGATAAATGACTGCTTTTGAGAAATATCACATTAATTTAGATCTCTGACAAAGACTCTATGGAAGGGAAATAAGAGAGAAGCATTCCTTATAAAATATTTGACGAGGTTGAAAGATCAGTAAAAAAATTACAATTCACAATTTATCGATTGAGGATAAAAAGGCTTAACACGCCCACGAAAAAATGGCTACTTCTGTTCTTCATGAATATTTCATGTTTAAACAAATTTATTCAATTCAAATAATCTTTTACTGTTTTTTTTTGAATTGTGAACATATTTTAGCCTACGGAATATTTTCCTTACTTCAGTCAGTAAATGTTATTCAAGACTTACCAAGTCTTAGCTTTTGGTAACATTTTTGATTCATGCAGAAAATCGGAAAGAATATTTTCAAAATGATTTTCAATTAACTTGAATTAAGCAAATTTTGTTGTTTTCCTGTCATTGTATTTAATTAACTCCACTCACTGTATTTATAATGAAATTTATTCTCCTACAATTGATTATCGCTTGACATCCAACGAGTTTCCGCACTTGCGATCAATCTGGATATGAAGTTTTATTATAAATAAATTGTTTCGACCGTTGTATTTTCACTGACGCCCTTGCTTCGTAATCTAGACCGTAAATTGTTCAATCCAGTTAATTAAATAATTTTATAGCTTGTTTTAACTTTTCCTTATGTCTTTCCTATGTAAATAAACTGTTCCTTCCGCTTTTTCCTCTCTTTACGCTTCTTTCTCACAGTTTCATGCTATGTACTTCAGAATTCTCTGTTACTCTTCTCCTTGCTGTCTTCTTATTTAATTCTTTCAATTCTCTAGAGTTTTCACTTGGTTTTGCATTTGCAATGACAACAAATTGTTAAATTAGACACTCAAACTTCTCAGACAATTTAAATTCAATTTATTTTCTCCCATTTTAAAATCTCAAAATCTTAGCACATTCATCCGCACTGGTCCACCGAAGAGCCATCAACTGTGATATCTGAACGTTGTCAACGTGCAAGAATCAACTCAGCGATATTTGTGTCGAGTGAAGGTCGTGGTTTTGATTCCATTGAATTTATTAGACGATATGGATCGCAAAGTGTTCTATGTCGAAAAGCAAAAAGCGCTGAAAACATTCCTTCATCGAATCAAACCGTAAGCTATTTATTTTTTAATTTTTTTAATATCTCGAAAAAGCAAAGTTAAACTTTATGCAAATTCATTCCATTTGTAATTTCCCTAAAGCGTCGTTTTTCTGAAAATCCTTCAAATAAGATTTGGGAGAGCGAAGAATCGAGATGTTCACCGAAAAGGGAAAAGATTGAAATGGTGGAATGTCACAACGAACCATTGACATTGACGATGACGCATAAACTCACAAACAGTACAAACAAAACGTCCAAGAAGACGCTACTGGCAACACTCCCGACACTTTCAATCAGCGGACCATCACCAGCACCATCACGAAATCAATCCCCAACAACACCACTAGAAGAAGATGAGAAGCAAAATTTCTTGTAGCTGCACGAGTCGCTCAACCTTTTTGTAAATATTAGAAGTGATCTAAGTGAGTTGTTAGTATAGCGAGAAAAAGAATTATTTATTTATTACGCAAAAGAAGAAAGAAGAAAAGGATTGCCAACAAATTCAATTGTCAATTTTCAAAGAAATTGCCGATGGAAATATTTTCCAAGCAAAAGTTATTTGCGTAGGATAATTTAATATTAACCAACTGAAGACGCTCACGAAAATTTTCTATAAATCAACTTGTGTAAATCATCGATGAAAATAGAATCAGATGGTATGGACCATTAATTAATTAATCAATTCATTAAAATGTGTAAAATACTAGAAATGAAAATGAACGAGTAGTCAAACAAACATTTAAGTTTATTCCTCTGACTGATATCGATTTTCATGGATTTATTCATTTATTCACTTTTTCCCCGATGTGCTTACAAAATGTTCTTGTATACTCGCATAGTAGCGGATATGTGAACAAAGTTTTGTGGAACTTGTTGATGAAATATTTACGACTTAAGTTCTCAATTCATACGCCACATAAGTTATTTAAACTCTCTTATGTCTCAAATACCCGACTCGGCTCATCTGAAACCGCGCAAAGCGTTTGAAAGTTGTAAATAATAAAAAAGGCGAGAGAAATCATCAACAACGAGAAAGCATTTAAGCAACAACACAAGTAAAGAGAAAAATCATTCATTAAAGACTATTTAAATATATGAAAAAGAAAATAAGCTGTAGTTAGACATTCAACATATTGAAATTGTGTATAATTATCGATGAAGAAAAGAAACAATTTTTCATCATTTTATTCGTTTCACGCACATATGGATCATTCTGAAAATACCAGAAAATTCATCAAAATTGTGTTTCTTTTGCTTGTTTACAGAATGTAAAGAAAACATTTCGAACAAAAACTTTTTTGCTGATTTCTTAGCTTCAAAACAAACACACACTCACAGAATCCCTCAAATAATTGAATTAAACTGTTTTATAGCGGTGAATGATCGATAATGAGAAAACTTTTGTTTGTTTATATGTGCAACTGAAATAATTTCTTATTGTTTTTGATAAAGAAGTCATTGAAATGTTTTATTCTTCATCAAAGAATTTATTAAAGCAATGGAAATGATTGAATGATTCTTGATTACATTTGACATTCTGTTTTAACGACCAAACTATGTATTTAATGCAAATATGACGGTAAATAATTTCTCTAATGATTATTCATGTTTACATCATTAACAAGCATATCAATAGATAAATCGAATTGAACCTTTTATCTATCAAATTGGCTTGGAAATCTCAACTTGATTTACTGGATTTTCCACTCCATTAACCTCAAATCTAACCTTCTGAATGTGATTGAGTGAAGGCATATCTATCGAATGGTTTGCTTTTAAACCTGAAATCCAAGTATCTTTGTGATTGATACTAAAGGGATCAATCAACAATGACATTGATTTCAAATGTGTCACTGTCCTTGACCTCAAACCTGAACTTATGTCAAATGAAGTCCGTTCATCTAATTGAAATATATTTGAATGAACAATTCAATGAATTGAATTATGTTGCTTTGTCAATTTTATGCTTTAACTACCTGATCTGAACCTTTTGAAAAAAGAAAAAAAACATGAGAAGTAAAGTCAATAATGATTACGGTAAGAAATATTTTATGTAGACAGTAGAAATAATTAAAATCAATTCAAGTTGTCATATGAATAATAGAACTTTCCTAGCTATCGTTATCCGATTAGAACTTTTAAAAATAGATATAATAGAGATGATTTTAAGAAAATCCTTTTGAAACTTCAAACATTTATTTTCAAGCAAACCTGAAGCAGTTTTCTTAATAGAATTTTGACTGCGCAATCATTTTAAAAACATTCTGACCTCTGAAAATTTTCTTCTTCATATCACATCGTCCATAAGTAATTTTCAATGGTGACATAAACATCGGCAAATTATTATCGAAACTTTATCTTGACTTTTTTTTTCCTGATAACGAGATAAGAAGAACTTCTTTGCCATCATCAATTTCGATGGTTTTTATGTGAAAACTCAAACCACTTTTTACAAGCTTTTTGCTGACTAAAACGAAAGTAGAAAGTAGAGAAACAAAAAGTAATTTAAAAGCTTTTAAAAAGAAATCTTATAATCCAATATGCGGGTGCTATTCACCAATAATATCAACAATTTTTACTGTTTATCATTAACGTATCATAAATTTATTCGATCATGAGTTCGACGTTTAGGAAATCTCCGAAATTTCTAACAACAAAAGCTTTCCATCACCATTAAACAAAAAGGCATAAATTTTGGTAAATATCTGAAACTTCATTCTATAACTTAAATCCCTTGAAAGGAAACAAAGCATTAGTTTAAAATATTCCGCCATTCGGGACCATAAACAATTGTACCGGTGTCTTTGATTGTACAGAAAATCCCTCCATCTTGCACTTTGATAAAACCGGTTGATGTTAAAGGTTACATAGCTTTAAGAATGAAAATGAATATGAATTTGTAAACACTTGCGAAAACATAAATTATGGGAAATTCATTTAAATTCAATTCCTTTACTCTCCCAGCGTTTACAAAATGTTAACAAAACATTTGAATTTGATGAAAACTTAGGGTGAAGTTTTAAACTTGATAAAACTTAAAATAACCTGCGTTAATTTAATTTGTAAATAGAAATTCCTCTAATATCATGCCTTAAATTCCAGTGAATTACTTTGATGTAACACTTAGATCATCATTTTCGATATTATAAACATCTACAACATAAATTTGATTAACGTTAACGCTAACGCGTGTAAGTTTCATTGAATTGAAGTCTCTTCAGATGTCAAAAAGGAATTTCTTTAAGAAAGTTTTCCTTTCTGCGTATAATAAAAGGAAGAGATGAGAACGAACGCCATTAAATCAACTTGATTGAAAGTGAATTTCTTTAAAAATATTCAATATTAAAATTGATTCTCATGACTTAAGAAGATTTTCAAAAGAATTTTCAATAATTGTATAATAGGTTAAGACATCAACAGCGAAAGATAATAAAAAACACAATTTGTCATTTAAGTGGTTCTGTTCATAATTATCTCAAAATTTTCATTAAAATTTTTTTTAATAATTTTCAGAATATTTTTCATTGTTCTCATTATGTTTGTAATTGATTGTTATTCAATTAATTAAATATTCTTTTGACTAGAGAAATGAAATAAAATAAAAAATTGAAACAAATTTATTGTCTTTTAAAACTTGTGTTTTCTTCTTGATGTGCAATTAATAAATTGAATGAAGTAAAATTATTCATGAAAATTTTGATTAAAAAAGAAAAACCGACGATTTTTAGATGAATTATTTCATCAGTTTTAAATTTTCCTATGTACTGCACGTTGATTATGATCATCAATTATTTGAAATGCTAAACATAAGATGGAGATTAAAATGTCGGAGTTGTTTACACGTCTCACTTTTTTCCTTTCCTGCCTTCCACTCTCCTTCACTGACATGAAAAAGCTCCCATGGCTCTTATAAAATACGTGCAAATTCTTCACCAAAAAGATGATTTCTTTTATTGTTCTCGCTCGTTATCATTCAACAGACTACATCGTGCGGAAACAACTTCAAAATTCAGTCTGCGCAAATCAATGGCAGACAAAAGAAGGCTATTAGTACATTTAAATATTTATCGTTCGCTAGATCGTGCGGATAGAAAGTCATTTTGAAATTTAAAACACGCTTCTCATTTTTCGTGATGAAGTTTTAACCGAAAGCATCGCATGAAAGAATGAAACATTACAATTCGCTCAATATTTTATACAGGAACTTGTAATTACTGCGTGACGATTCAATCCAATAAATCACATGAATTTTAATCGCACAAAGCCACAACAAACATTTATGTTTTCATCTGAAATGGAAAAATCCAAAAGGAACTTTACAATTTTCCCATAATTTACTTGATATTAATATTAATACGTCATTCTGAAATCAACCCATCAACGGCACAATTTACGATTTTAAGACCGGAAGGCTTAACGTGAGAAACAGTCATAAAATTAAACATTATGCATTATTCACCTGTAATTTTTTTCTGCATCGTTTTACATTGAAATTCATACACGTTTCAGCAGCTTTCAGTTATTATGAAACTTTCATGTTAATTGTTTAACATTAAAAAAGTCAGATGAGTGAGGAAAAGTTTTTGAATTCGAAGGAAATTAAATTGTCGTTTTGAGAAAAGCAAGAATTGAGTTGTTGGAAAGTTTGATGAACATTTTGAATATTTGACAGTGATTCTCTTGTGTGAAGATGTCAAAGTCATGTTAAACATTGAAAACGATTTCTTCAGTGATTTTTGAAGTCTTAGAAAGTAAAATAAACTAATTTTTCATCAACATAATCAACGTGAAGCTTTTCATATCGCCTTGACAAATTTCCCAGCAAGACCTCACACTTTAAATCAACATTTTGTTATGAAATTTGCAAGGAAGAAGAAAGTTATTAACATAAAATTATTTTTCAAAGAATTTTATAAGAGCGAGACATTGAAAAACATATTTTTCGCTTGTATTTCTCAACCGTCCCATTGCAAACATAAATTTTAAGCTACACTGTTTCCGTCGACACATTTATGATTATTGCATGACAAATGATGACGGATCGTTATCATGAAATCTTTTCTCTGCTCCATAATTTCATTACTCGGATGTTCTTACAACTTAATAAATTAAAGGGATAACTTTATCATTGACCTTTCAAAGTTCAAGTAGAAAATTTCTTTACAACTCACAAAATTTTTATATTTCGATGACAAAGGAGAAAAAGGAATGTAATAAAGCCTTAAATTTCTAAGTAGACAATTTTTATATCTATCCCAGCTCATAAGCTTATGGATGTAAAATGTCTTTCAAGAATTGTTCAAAAACTAAGCTTAATTGTGTTTTAAGATTTAAAATGCTTCGCAGAAAATATTCATCACAGAAAATATTTGAAAAGTAAGGACATTTAGAACATAGAAGAAAAGCGGATCACAAAGAAAATATATTTCAGTAGAACAATTTACTTGAGCCTTTATCGCTTGAAAGGATTGTTTAGAAATTCTTTTTTCAAGAAGCACTTAAGATTTTCTTTTGATGGACAAATTATAATTAAGAACTTGTGAAATTGCTTGTTCTAACTCATTGATTCTATTTTCTAAGTTAAAGTGCAAATGGAAACTTGTCACAAAACTAAGAAAGAATGAATCCTGAGAAAATATCAACCCCCAAAGGAAAGGTGTTTTATTTTTCTGCCTACTGGAAATATTCATGAAAATTTAATCACAAGAGAGAAGTTTCTGATGAATAAAAGAAACTTATTCTCTAGAATTGTGTGTTCCGCTCAAGTTCCGTTGGTCATATAAATGGAACTCGAACCCCAAATTTCCTTTCTAACAAGCACCATTAAAGGTCGTAGTAAGCATCTGCTGATTCATGTTTGATAGGAAAAAAGGCAATTTGAGTTTCGTAATTTATGTAACAATACCCATCTCTATTCAATTGGATATGATGCTTAATTTTCTATCGTTACGCATTTCTGTCTCACTTTTATACAAAAAGGAGAAAGCTGATGGCTTCATTGAAAAAAGCTTTTCAGTGTCATTTAAAAAAGCTTAATACTTTCAATTTGTTTCAACCCTTTTATCTTTTTTTTGTTCCTTCTGTGCAATCTTTCAACATCAAACCGAACAAATTACAATTGAAATTTGATTTTTTCATTCATTAAATGGAAATAAAAAAAAATTCAAGTGTTAAAAGAAGATAATTAATTTCTTATGAATGGATTATTGGTAAGTTAACATTGTTTAATATTTAATCAATCATTCTAGGATGAGAAAATCTCCTTGATGTGGTTCTCAAATATTATTCATTCATTTCGTTGATTTTCATTAAATATAAATTCATCTTTACCTCCAGGGGCAAATGTCTTAAATAAAGATTATCATAACAAAGCAAAATATTTAAATTGCATAAAATATGTTTTATTCCAATCAGATTTGAATAAGGAATCCATATATTTATTTATCAAAATCACAACAGAATCAAATCGGTTCAAGTGTTCTTCCAATTCTTTTTTCCCATAGATACTTAACATTTTGATTTCTCATGAACTGTGGAAGACATCAAAATTGAATTTGCTAACGTTTGACTCGTAAGATATTTGAATAAAGCGAAGACGTGTACCATTTGTCTTGAAGTATTTTCCAATTATATTTGTGATTTTCTTACAATGAGCATATAATGTTTTCACGATTCTTTCTCTACTTTTTTTTTCGATTTGAAAGGTATGGTAAAAACGCAATGTTTTTTCACTTTGCCGTAACTTGAGTTGGAAAGACGTTTTTATTTCAAAACCCATCAACATGAGAATTCTTTATTTTAGGTCTATCAAATGCTCTGTCAATTTCAAGATTTGTTTGATAAGGCCTAATACTTTTTCTAACAAAAATCAATTGTCAACAGATTCAACAATAGAATAATTCATGTATGTTGTCTCTTGCTTCTCCAAAGGGTTTGATTCAATCAAAAGTGACTTGACGAGCTTTTCTCGGTTTTCATTTCAATTGAAGAATCTTTTAAGTAAAAGAAGCTGTAATCGGGACATTTTCCGAGAAACGATAAGCTTACCCGCATATTATTTCCATATTGAGAATGAGCAAAAATATATTATTTGGATTGAAATTTATTGATATGAAATTAATATCTTTCTAGATCCGCTCAGAAAAGTTTCCAAAATTTCAATTTAAAACTTAATTTTTTTAGATTCTCAAAAGCTCTCCGACATTCCATTCTAAGCTCAATTTTTTGTGTATAAAAGGATGAGTTTTTGATGGAAAAGTCTCAGTTTAATTATTTTTCCAAGATGTTCTTCCAATAATAATTAAACTGAGACTTTTGTCCTTCTCGCAGTTGTCGTTGCTGCTGGTGAGTAAATATAATTTTTTTTG